AAAAATACTGTTTATGTTTTGGATGAAATGTATTAATGATTTGGGACAAACTAATTTATAACCAAGGTGCTGCTATATCAGGACACACAGTAGAACACAGACACAGCTACAAAGTTGTAAGTATAATATTATTTATGTGGTTTTTAATTACATGAGGACATATGAGATAATTAATTAAAGGTGGATGCATGTGATGTGGAGACTGTTTCTTCTTACAGTGAGCCTTGAATGCCATTGTTGGCTTGGCTCTGTTGAAAACAAGAATTTGAAACAGCTTTACTTAATTAATTTGTATAATACTATTGGGCTGCTGCTGATGGCGACCAGTGAGATGTACAGGTGGTTGTTGTTTTTAAGGGCTTAGGTCCAAACTCCAAATTGTTCTACGAGAATGTCTCAAACACAAAAAAGCATGAGATGATCAGAGTCTGAGTGTCTGAGTGTCTTCCTTCCTTATTAATTAAATTAGCATTTTACAATTTAAAACCAGATGAGCCTGTGAGTCTTAACCTAATGCAACTCATTTAGTTTTTCTTTTTCTTATACTCATCTCCAATGAGCCTGTGATGTGAGTCTTAACCTAAGAGAGATTAGTGGATGAGGGTGGAGATTGTGCTTTCAAATTCTTATGTAAATTGTTTTAAAATGAAGAGACAAAGAGCAATGATAGCATTAACAAATTTTGATTATCAACCCTGAATAGCTCGATTAATTCGAACTGCTCAGAGTGCGCTGCGATTGTCTTCTTCTTGTTCATGCAAAACCCTAGTCAATGGCATACAACGCCACCCAAATCCTCCGCTGCAGTGCAGAAAGCAATCTCAGCCTCTCTCTTCCAAAACGGATCTTACGCTTCTGAGACATTTCCCAAATCGCCCAGCAAAGCTAACATCCTTGGAATATATTTTTTAAACCGTACGGCCGAACGGCTGTACTATTAAAATATTTTAATATATTTATTCAAAGAGTATCGGCGAACGGCTATACTATTAAAATATTCGAATATATTTATTGTAAGAGTATTACTATTAAAATATTTGAATATATTTATTCCAAGAGTATCGCCGCACGGCCATACTATTAAAATATTCAAATATATTTATTTCAAGCGTATAGCCGTCCGGCTCTACTATTAAAATATTCGAATATATTTATTTCAAGGGTCTAGCCGAACGGCTATACGATTTATTTCAAGGGTCTAGCCGACAGGCTATACTATTAAAATATTCTAATATATTCATTTCAAGCGTCTAGCCGACCGGCTATACTATTAAATTATTCGAATACATTTATTTCAAGAGTATCGCCGAACGGCTATACTATTAAAATATTCGAATACATTTATTTCAAGAGTCTTACCGCACGGCTATAATATTAAAATATTCGAATGTATTTACCGGACGGCTATACTGTTAAAATATTCAAATATATTTATTTCAAGAGTTTAGCCGTAGGGCTATACTATTAAAATATTCGAATATGTTTAATTCAAGAGTCTAGCCGCACGGCGATACTATTAAAATATTCGAATATTATTTATTAAAAGCGTATAGCCGCACGGCTATACCACTAATATATTGGAATATATTTATTTCAAGAGGAGAGCCGCTCGGCTATACGGTTAAAATATTCGAATATATTTATTAAAACGTATAGCCGCACGGCGATACTATTAAAATATTCGAATATATTTATTGAACGAGTATAGCCGGCCATACCATTAAAATATTCGAGTATAGCCGGATATACCATTAAAATATTGGAATATAATTATTTTAAGAGTATAGCCGCGCGGCTATACAGTTTTTATTTAAACTAAAATCAAAGAGAGTTCTTTTTCGGCTTTTGTTAAAACAGCAGCTTATCCAAAACTACAAAATAGTAATGGCCAAAATTATTGTGAGAAATTTGGCAGAAAAAATTTTAAGCTTTGTCAAAGAAGCCACAGCAATCACAGAACATAATTTTGCAACTATAGGATTGAAATTTGAATTCTAATTGGGTGCTTGGTGACCTATAGCAACTTGAATAAGATAAAAAAGTTTGTGCAAAATCAAAAATCAAATTTACACATATTTGCTTAAAAGTGGCTCATATTTGACAACGGGATTAAAGCTTTTAAGATCAGATTACAAGCACGGTATTCGGTAACACGTGGACTCTGAGAACCTGATACATAAACAAATGACACACTTAAGGCTCGGGTTTGACCTTCACATCACCATTCTGTAATATGCTCTGTGCTTGTGCAAGCCGTTTTGTTTCCTGTATCGTAAGTAAACAGCTTAAACTCATACAAGAATCATAATTAACCACACACGCAAATACCAAGAATAGCTAGAAGGAAATATCGAGAATAAATACAAACAAGCTGACTTCTGCTGGGCGCAGAGTCAACACATCAATGGCAGAAACTTTCAGAGAAAGGTTGTGTAGTCTGGATGAATGACCAAAAGCAAGAAATGCATAAAGGATGAAAGGGTCCACCCAACAAAATATCGAGAATAAATGCAAAAAAGCTGACTTCTGCTGGGCGCAGAGTCAACACATCAATAGCAGAAACCTTCAGAGAAAGGTTGTGTAATCTGGATGAATGACCAAAAGCAAGAAATGCATAAAGGGTGAAAGGGTCCACCCGAAGACTTTATGATAAAGGCAAATAAGGTTTATAAAATCCTTGTACAACATGTTAGTGGGCGAATGTAAGGTAACTTACAGCAGCAGATGCAGAACGTATTTCTCTGTAAGATTCAACTTCATCAGGAAATGTCTGTTCAAGTTCTTCCAGAAGATGTTTGCGTAAACTCTAAACAAAACATGAGTAGAAGGTGGAATAAGGACAAACTTGAAACATCGAAATGGAACGAAACAATTATTTGCACACTGTAAAAGCTACCTTGAAGGTATCAGTTTTGCCTTTAGTGATCTGATTTTTGGCAATGCAACTGTTTATGACATCCCTTGTAAATTCATCAGGATTCTTCCCATCGTCAATCAAACTACACAAAATTAAAAAGTCAACGGTAGTCAGAAATCCACCATAAATGAGGAACCTTCAGTTGTTAGAAAGCAAATTAGAGAAGAAGCCTCACTTAAAAACTTCCATAGGAACCTGGATATTGCATTTTTCGGACAACTTAGCCATGTTGTCAAGCTCGATAACAAGAGCATTCCTGAGAGGTCAAACCTAATGTGAGAAAGTCTCCAAGCAACAATAAAAATATTGAGAACATAAGGTCTGAATAATCATTGAAGAAGCTCAGACTGAGAAAGTTACAGGCGTTGGAGGAGGGGGAGCTGAGAGGCGTCATTGAACGAAGAGACAGTGAGGTAGAGCTGATGAATGAGCCCTAAAGTTTTCTGAATAGAGTTAATGACCTCGTTCAGGTTTTGCTTTGGATCATCCACCATTGTCACTCCAGTTGTATCATTGGCTTGAGGGACCAAAACCCCATTTCCACCACTCCCACCGGTTGCATTCTGTGATGCATCCATTTCACACCACTCTAAAGCTCTTTAAAAAACAAACTGTCAGGCTGTCAAATGGAAATTAAGCCAATCAAAAGTAAGACACTAGATACATAACAGGTTTTTCGTGACATTTGCTAAAGAAGAAAAGCATACATATTGCTAAAGAAATGAAAACGAATTACAACTTAAGCATGTAATAAAATTCATCAATTTAGAAGTCAAAACAATCGTTTAGATCAAATTTAAGTAACACAGGAAATCTCTTCCTAGATAAAGCTAACTAGAATCTCCTTGGCTACAGTGTCCTTCATTCTTGCTGGATCTTTCTTTTCTTTCTCTTTTTTATGCACAACAGAGCATTAAGAAAGAGAAAATATCCCAGATGAATCTTCTCTCAAGTAGCTGCAAATAAATAAAAGGACATACAAAACAATATAATACTAGCTTCGATTAAGACCGAGCCAAGAATTTGTAGATGAAGCTGCCAAATTTACATACCAAATGGGCTTTGTACAATTTTTTTACTTTTAATTTTCTTCAGATGGAAGCCTTACAAACAAAAATTGAAACTACTACTAACCCGCATAAAGAGGGAAATAAGTTTTTTTTAAATTTTTTCAAAAGTATGTTATCAATTGCAGTTTTGTGAAACAGGGATATACCACCATGAACCACCATGAGGACTTACTGCCTCGAGGAGCCAAGACAACTAAGCAAGTCCTTAACTTATTATTGAATTTCTCGATTATTTCCCTTGAGTGTTGTATTGTTGGAAAAAAAATATATATATCCTTAAGGGCGACTATAAAGAGATAAAGAGAAAACACAAACAGTAAAACAGACTTATTTCGGCCGAAAATGCTTTCATTGATAACCAAAGAGGAAGCGATACAAAGACTAGTGCCAAAAGCACCAGCCATAAAGAAACAAACATTTCTGAATATTCCAAACCTTGAGATTGAGAGTTAATGGAGTGAGAAGATTGACCTCTTCTGATGAGAACATAAACACGAGAGAGAGTAAAAAAGGAAAAAAAGGAAACGAATTTGGCCATACCTTAGATCGATCTTTCCAACCCTGCTTCAGTATGTGAAATGAATCCTCTTCTTGCAGATACAAAATGATGAACAAACCGATTCACAGAGGGATGGGGAGAGAGAGAGAGAGAGGAGACCGAGGAATTGGTATTGGGCTTCGCCTTTCCCAAAAAATCCCTAATAAACTAAACTAACCAACCCAACTAAATTATATATAAATAATATATTGGGCCCAAAAGGAAATAGCACGCTCAGTTATGGCCCAAAAAAGAAATTAGAAATCTTTGCATTGGCCCAAAAGAAATTGGCATCTCCATCAGCTATACACTCACAGAGTCACACAGAGAAACACCCTGCAAGGTATTGACATCGTAACATCTGGTGTGCTCCTACTACTCAATTACATAACTCAAATTCTACCGTACAAGTTGATAATACAAAAAGTTGACAAGGAATGAATGGATTCTTAAGAAAGAAAAGAAGACAAAAAATTTAAACATGGTGATGGAGGGTAGCTAATACCAATGAAACTATATGCAAGGAACCAGTAATTACAACAATTCCTAAACGATCCCCAGTTCTTCCTCTGAGAATCTGATTTGCTGTATTCAGGGAAGCCTGAAATGAAGCCTCCGCGGCCAATATGGGTTTATTTCCCAACTTGCTTAAGCAAATTAACTGATCCACAGACAAATCTTGATGCTCCGACATTTCGTCATGGAGAACATCTATTCCCAGTTCCTTGGAAGCTTGGATCCAGCAATTCCTTAACAATGAGGCTGCAGTTGTCCGAGATTTTGACCCAGCAATGCTAGCTTCTGTCAAAACGACACCATTGACATGCCCACCTGAAAAGAAGTGATCAAAGTCTCTATCATGAAGGTACATGTTGTCATCTTTCTGACTCCCCAGCATTGAACATTACAACTAGGAAGTACTGAAAATATAATAATCACAGCAACTGAGTACTGGCTTTACCTGAGAGGCACTCTCTTGCAAAACCAAGATGATCTTTGTCGCTAGCCATTGCAACCACAAGAGTCAATCCTGCCTCTGGAAATGTCATCTTTATAGTCTCCATCAATGCTCTAGCAGATTCTTTGGTGTGGGCTGAAAAACAGTCTTGGAAAGTATTAGCACTGTAGTTCTACATTGGTAGTAATAAATACGACATCCGAAAACAGAACTGTAAACATTCTAAGCAATAATTTGTATATTCCAAGTCACCAGGGCAAATGATAGCCTCATCTAAATCTATTCAGTGTGGAGGGAAACCAAGAATAAAGAAAAACATACCTCCATCAAGCAACATTGTTGCGCCAGATAGTCCTATTGCCTGAGCTTCTTTTGACGTTAGAAATTGACTTCTTCCAAGCAAGTGTGTCTGCTGTAAACCAGTTCTAATGCAGTCATCTGAAATTCTCCATCCTGAAGTATCCATAGAAGCATTAGAGGGAAGATTTAAAGAACACGGCAGCCAGTTATGTAAAATAATTGAGAAGTGACTCAGAACTTAAATAACATAAACAAGGTAGAGCCAGCTGTATAAGATAATGAAAAAACTAATGGTTTCTAATATATCTAGAACATTACAGCCCAGCAGAAGATAACTAAAAAATTAACCCTCTCACCTAGGTGGCGAAGACATAGTGCTGCACAAGTAGCAGTTACTGCATTCTGAAGTTGGTGAGTTCCAAGCATGTATAGTTTGACATCCAATAACTCAATGAACTACAAGGAAGAACACAATTACAAGTTTGTTACAACATTTCAAAAAAAATGAAAAAAAACAACATTGCATGGTAACCAATAAAACAGTTCTATGAATATGAAAATAAAAAACCCAATAGATCCTAAAATCATCCCTCAAATGTGTACCAGCTTTAAGTCCCTTTCAACTCGTATCACTATATCACAAGACTGGAAAGGTCTACCATTGAGCATGCTAACGCCATTTATCTTACTTCTATTTCCAGCATCTGATGCTAATACTACAGGGGAGCTCATCAAGAAAGCTTTATCACGAAGAATGTGCTCAATACGTGGAAGGAAGGGACCACCCAGAACCACCTGAAAATTTATACCAGTCAGTAGAGTAAAAACGAAGTATATATCCTGCGGTCAGCAACAGCAATTCTGATGACTGGTAAACAGAGATTGGAACATGAGAATGAAGACAGAGAAGAAAACAGGCAGCGTATAACTACTACGATTCTGAAAAATCTACCAAAGGAATCCCTATGGCGGACCAGTGAATAACCTAACTGAAAACTTTCACGTTCACAACATGTGTAGAAGGAAATAGGAGAAAGAGTAGTTAAAATGGAAGACAATACAGGAAAACTTTTAGCTTATTTGTGCAAAAGAAATCTCTAAGGCAGAACCACCTAACTGGGCGACCTTGTTTAATGATTCCGGACTTCGCAGTTGCAATGCTTTCCAAAGAACCTCCAAGTGCAGCCAAATGTTCCTCACCTATTGTAGTTATGACCGATGTGGCAAGTCCAGAGCTACAAATGACATTAGTTGCATCACGTGCACCGCCTAACCCAGCCTGTTCATTTGCATGAAATAAAAACAAAATATTTGAAGGGGCATAAACAAAGGGGCAATTATCTGCAAAAAGATATCAAAGGGCAAAGTGAATAACCTCAATAACCGCAATGCCAACATTCTCTTGAGCAAATAGTGTGAATGCCATAGCAGTGAGAACCTAACAAATTTCAATCCGTTACCACATAATACAAGATGCCCAAATCTGACAATGGAAAAATGTTGAAAGGAAAAAGAAATCATTTTGTGAATTCAAATACACTCTCCAACCCGATATTTCAAAACATAAATTCTCACTGATAATACGAGAAAATGATAATTTGTTGAAAGCTATGAAGCTTCTCAACCATATTGAAATATTTTTCTGTAATCATTATGTGATGATTATCTAATTAAAAAGCAACCAACAATGATATATATAAGTTGATACCTCAAAATGACTCATACGCCCATTTTCAACTTCCATTGCACGATCAAGAATCTTTTTAATCCTATGGAAAAGAGAACGCAATGCCTTTGCTGACACTGGTTCGCCAAACCTTCCCATTGATATACGTTCCCTGACAGTTTGAATATGCGGGCTGCATAGACATAAATGAAGCCTCTTCTCAACAAATGGATACTTCAAATCAGAGGAAGTTGAAAACATAATCGAAAACGTAGATATTGCAATAAACCAATGAGCCACACCTAGTATAACAACCAACAGAATGCCCTTCTGCCCTCAAAATGCTGGAGAGAAATGCAGCGGTTGATCCTTTCCCCTTGGTCCCGGCAATGTGAACGGCCTATAATTGCTGTCATGCTAGTTAATTTTACTTGTTCTCAAACTTAGCAAAATAAAGAGAAGAAAAGTTCATATAAAAAAATTAAAGAGAAGAAAAAGTAACCACATCAAAAACAGCGAAAACAAAAACAAAAATAGGAGTTTAGTTTAATAAAATACCATGAACCCAAGTGAACCCCGAGTCAAGCTAGACACTTTCAACAACTAAACTACAAAAGCCTTTTACTTTCAGTGTTATTGTTTGCAATTTTCTCACTAAACAAACAGAGCACAAGCATTAAAAGAGAGTTACACCAATGATATTTCGAACCTTGAACTTAGAGTGAGGATTACCCAGTAGCTCCAACAACCGTCTCATCCGACCCAGATCAAACCCGTCTTCCGAATCTGTACCCGCATCTTTGGGAACGCCCGATTTCTCGTAGTTCTTCAGAGAATTCATGTATTCCATCAAGTCCTTAAGCTCCGAGTCATCCGAGCTTGCGCAAAAGCCTCTTCTGGACCCTACATTTCTCAGAAGCCCAACGCCAATTGAAGAAGTTAGCCTTTTCCTGTGAGTAAGGATGGGTTGTCTGAGATGTTGGAAAAGTTTCATTCCTTCTTGTTCTCCGTTTGTTTCTCGGCAAAAAGTGATGGAAACTGAGTCAGTGAGGCTAGTCATCGGCGCCTAGCACCGGAGAAAATTTCCCAAAAGTGCGGCGTTTCGCTTTTCTCTCTCCACTAAAACGCAACGTTTCACTAATTCGACACGTGGCGGGCAGTTCGCGCCTCCACCTCACAGTGTTACAGTTTTATCTCGGTGCCCTGACGTTGATGGTATTGTGTGGTGTGTTTGAAACACTTCCGCTCTCACAGACTCTGTCTCAGGATCAGTAAACCCTAAACGATTCTCTGCTCCAATCGCGAGATTTCGACTCTGCAGTTGAAATTTCTGCTGTAACTTGTAAGTTTACATTTTATTGTTTGTTACAGTGGTCTATGCATTTTCGGTTGCTTCTCTGTTTGGTTCCCCGGAAAAAGAAATGAAACAAAAATTTTTTTTTTTTTTTTTTTTTTTTTTTTTATTAAGAAGAAAGTTCTGAATTGTGTTTCTTAAAATTGCAGAGGTAATAATTCTTTCTGGAAAGAATTGAGCTTTTGTTTTATTTTTGCATCTATTCTTGAATCTCTGAATGGTATAAGTTTTGATGATTTTTTTATTTATTTTTAAATTCAGTTATTTGTAAGCGGGAACTGCTGAGATTATTTTGTGAAATGCTTGATTCTGAAAGTAGAATTGTTCTAGTAGATTAGAGAAATATGGAAGTTGTGGAATGTAAAGATATGCACGAGGTTGTTGGCGAAAATGAGTTGGAAGGTTGTGGGACTAGTGAATTTGACAACAGGAGTAAGAGAGCTGAAGAGAGGTGTGTGGAGTTAGAATCGGAGATTGTAAGGAGGAAGAGTGAGTATGAAGCTCTTGAGGCCAAGTTTAGGGCATTGGAAGTCGAAAAGCTTGCTATGGAAGAAGTGATTAAGGCTTTGAAGAGAGAGAGTGATGGAATTAAGGAGCAGGATAATAGTGGCGGAGATGAAAAGAATAAATTTTTGGGGGGAGAAAAGGGGACGGAGCGAATTGTTGATCTGACAGAGGATAAGTGGGAGGAAGATAAGGTCTTTCAGCTTATGATTGAGAACAAAGTATTGGAGTGTGAGAAGAAACAGGCTGAGAATGAGGTTGAGGCTTGGAAGGAAAAATTCAGAGAATTGGAATTGGGGATCTTAAAGTTGGACAATAATTTAGTCTTGAAAGGTGGGAAAGTTCCCTTGGCTGAAAGGATTAGACTTGAGGATGGATCACCCAATGTGGATTCTCCTGAAGATAGCCGGACTACGCAACCGAATAAAAGGATTAAACTTGAGGATGGATTGCACGTTGAAAGAGACTTGGAATGTTCGAGAGACAAAGATATAGTTGTGGATTTGGTGGATGTTACATGTCACTCCCTTGGTAAAGGGATCTGCGATCTGCAGTCAGCAGGTATGAAATATGCTCAAATTTGTAATTACTCAATTTTTTGTGCAAAGTCCTAATTGGATATGGGCATTAGCTGTGGGGAAGTGCCCATATTGGTAGGATTGACTCATATAACTGCTATGTTCTTAAGTGGTTGACCCTTAGCATCTCCTCTATGAGAAACTTTTCTGATTTCTGTTCAAATGATTCTTAGTAAATGGAATGCAATGTTTACATGCGTCTTTATGTTTGATTTTCAAATGTAATTTTAAGTCCAGTATTCATGAAGGGAGAATGTGTCTTTTTGTTTAAAATAACTTTGAGTCCGGTATATATGTATGTTTTCACATTGCCTAAACGAATGCAGTTAGGCTCCTGTAAAGTTGTTTCTTTGGTACATAACAATTTGTTTTAAGTAATGCAGGCTCTACTCCCAATGGCACACCATGTAAGCATCGGGATGGTATTAAGGAAGAGAAGAAAGGTGTCTGTATGGAATATACTAACAGCAGACAAGCAAGGAAACAGCTAAAATTTGAGGAAGATGGGAGTCCTTGCAAGAAGATGGCTCCATCTACGCCTGGTGGTGGTGTACCTTCTTCTCTCAGTGTCATTAATATTAGTGACAGTGATGATGAACGTAATATTACTCATTGCCATACACTTTTGCCTACTGATGATAAGGGAAGCAAAGAGGTTTGCATTTCACTGGGTTCTGTATTAGGAGAAACTGTGGGTTGTGAAAAAGGTATGACTATCAAAAACTGTATAAAGCAGACAGATACTGACCATAATGTTGAGGAAGATACTGATGATAGCAATGAGGCTTTTCTGCTTGCCTCAACACCCAAAAGAAAGCGTGCTTCTAATATTGTTACTAGTGACTCTGAAAGTAGTGATGATAATATTCCGATCATAAAACTCAAGAAAATGCATCTTCGGGAAAAAATACATGACCAAGTAGGATCTGCTTCGGTGGTTGACAATGCCACGGGTGCTATTACCCCTCGAAGGCGGCGTCTCGTTAGGTTGAGAAAATGTGGGGAAGGAGGTGGGGCAGAAGGAAACTATTCAAACGAGGATGTTGAAGATGATGAATTATTCGAAGAGGTTGGGTTGGATAGTGAAGGTGAAAGCTTGGGTGGATTTATTGTGAATAGTTCTGATGATTCTGAAGGTAATGATGCTTCTACCAAGTTGGAAGATTCCTCAGATGATAATGTGAACTTTGATGAGATCCTATCGAAATTTCAGAGGAACAAAGATCATAAATCGAAATGGGAGTTTGAGGCAGACATGCTTGCTGCATTTGGTAAGGATCCATATCTGTGCATGAAGGCTGTATGTGCTCTTTATAGACAGCAGACATGTGAAGAAAAAATTAGCAAGGGATCATTGTGCAACAATTATCGTGGTTTTAGCAAGTTCGACGCTCTCAGGTGAGAATTTGAACGCATAATATTTGACTTGTCAGATCCTACTTCTTGCCTAACTATTCGTTTAGGTATCATTTGACATATTTCTTATCCATTTTCAAGATGTGATGATATCTGGAATAGATTTTTGCTTTCTGTGTTTTGTCAACCAAATTGTTGATGAATTTTCTGTTCTCCATTTTTATAGGGGCTCTGTGTTGGCTGAGTTTCTCACTGGTGGAGACCCAAATGGAGATGTGAACAAAACAGTGAAGGAGTTGGAGGAGTATGACCCAAGGGGCATCGAACAATGTAGAACATTGGCAAGTCGTTACTCTAAGCAACTGTTCGAGATCTACAATAACAAAGAGGATCCTCTGTTTCTCCCATCATTCTGATGGTCTCTGCCAGAGGGATGACATAAGATGAGATGAAATGCGAGAAGGGTTACCAAATGTTTGTACATATATGACAGTCCTTTTGGTTTTTTATCATGGTTGTGTTGTATATAACAATATAACTAGGAACATATGAAAAATTGTCCTTTTCATATTTATGCATTGAAGCACATAATTTTCGACTGCTTTGGTGTCCTTAAATCAATGCCAAGAATTGGCAGACAAGCATGCTAGTTCTTCCTTCTTTCCTGTTGTTTCTGTGCAACTACATGCTACCTGCTAATATGGGTTAATTGCCACGTAGCAGACAAGCCGTTGGAAATATGGAAAATGAGATTGTATTTGGTGACAATCTGCAACTACCCCCAACAACTAAATTATTAGATTTTGGCTTGTCCTTCGAAAAATGAAGATGCATATGAATATGATACATGAGCATTGTTGACAAACTTAATTGTAAGAGTTGACGTTTTTGTAATCTTTCAAGAATTGAATCGTTCTAATATGAATTAACGAATTTTTAACTAGTTTTCACCCTTTGGCTTTCTCTACACTCAACAGTCCAGTTTCTGAGTTTCTCTCATTAATTGAAGCTCCACTTACAAAAAGGCCATCATCCATCAAGTTTGAGAGAGAGAGAGAGAGAGATGGAGTCAGCTACTAGGTTTGAAGTGGGAAGAGGAAGAGTCGATGAAGGGAAGCAGCAGCAAAGGGACTTCTTTAAAATGCCACTGCACTACCCAAACTATTCAAAAGCCGACTACGACAGCATGCCTGAATGGAAGCTCGACCGCCTTCTGTCTGAGTACGGCCTTCCAGTTGTTGGAAGTGTGGAGCACAAGAAGAAATTTGCCATGGGAGCTTTCCTTTGGCCTCACTAAATAAAATCACTTCTTCTTCTTCTTCTAGCTACGACGGCATTAATAAAATATTTTCTATATCATCTTAGCTAGCTGCCTTCTTCTCTCATAATGTTTCATATATATGTGTTTTGCTGATTTCTGTGTTGCCTCTTCCTTGTAATTACTTTGCATTGCTCTGAAAAGAAAGGCTCAGCAGCAACTGAAGAGGTTTGTTTTTTATCCAAACAATATTAGAATCATATCAATTCATGCATGCTAATGCTGTCAATATAACTGGCTGGCTGGGAAACGTATTTTTAGTTTTACAAATCAAACTACATCATCAACACAAAACGCATAATTAACAAACATCTTTTTAAATTTAGGAAATTGATTGAGAAACAGAAAAAGAAAACATATGGTTTGGTGGGTCCCCTAAAGATGCGGGCTGACCCCACAACTTTGCCATGCATATAGATAGATAGATGGCTATAAAAGCCATACGTGTGTTGATCCACAATTCCCTCACCCTTGGGTCTTCCTTTGAGCCATTTTATTGGTCCCTCTCTGTCTCATATTTATTATCATTTTGTTGAGCGCTGAGCTTTTCTCCCTCCTCTTTCTCTCTCTCTCTTTCTCTACGTAACGTAACAAAGAGAGGAGGAGGAGGAGGAGGAAGAAAGGGAGAAAAATGGCAGTGATTAATGCATCGGCATTTGGAGTGGTTGCAATTGTCCTCCTCTTTTTCGCTGTCGTTTTGCCCATGGCTCATGCAACCAGGGTGGCTCCGGCTCCAGCTCCAACAAGCGATGGTAAAGCTTCCTTAAAAAAAATTGCATTGCTCACGTATCTTTCAATTTTTTTGTTTTGTTTTTGTTTTGACATAGCAGTATTCTAAACTATTCTAATTTACGGAGAATGAATTAAAATTGACTACAAGTGAGCAGATACGCTGCCTTAGTCAACTCACCTAACCAACATTCGCATTTCTTTTTGGTGTTTTAATTTGGAAACGAATGGAAAGGTTATGGGGATTGCTTAATGAATTGTTTATGTGTATTTTTGCAGGCACGGCAATAGACCAAGGGGTAGCATACGTTCTAATGGTGCTGGCATTAGTTCTCACATATCTCATCCACTGAATAATCAATCATCTGAGCTATGAGATGCAGAGAACCAGAAGGTACAGGAAGCAACCAGCAGCATACATATATACAAACCATTGCCCACGCTAGGTGTTTTAAATTTAGGGTGGGTGTGATGTGGTATGGGGTAAATTTATTAATTTCGTCAGGTTAATTCTTGTTGAATATTCCAAGTATTGGATAAATCTCATTAATTTAGTACGTCCTTGCTTCCCTTTTCTTGGTTTGATTCTATCAGGAAACACTTCTCTAGTTACTATGTACATTAATTTGGATAATTTCTTGCCTTGCCTTCTCAATTTTAATACATAAACTTGAAATTTAAAAATGGAAATAATGAAATTGAGAAACAAAGCATAGACATTACCAGGATTCGGATTGCTCATTTTCTCGATGGGCTGAATGAGTGCCTCGAGATTTTTTGGTTTTTTTCTTTTGTCCAAGAAATTCTAGGATTTGACCTTTTTTTTTATTTTTAAAATTTTAAATTGGAGGGTGGGAGGGAGGAGCGTTCAAGAAGCACAGAACGTTTTGGCCAAATCCTGCTGCAATACTAAATAAATGACAAAAAGAAATACTATTGCTTTATTTGACACCAAAGAGAACAAGAGGCAGATCATGCAGATTATTCGACATAATCCACCAACTGAGATGAACTCTCAAAAAAAAAAACAAGGGAACGACCTAAACGTAACAAAATTTCTTCTCAAAACTGAGCCAAAAAAAGTGAACCAAAATTGGGTGAAAAGAGGTTCAATCCTGCGCTTGCAGGCTTAGAAAAAAAAATAAAAACATTGTCATCTGGAAAGCTATTGTATCTACAAAAACTTGTAGCTGATCTTCCTTATCAAAATCGTTTCCTTACCCTATGCCAAGTCACTGGACACTGCATCAAAGGGCACCGTGGAAGGATCAAAAAAAGGAGAAGACACGGATCCACCTCTGTCATGAAGTTGAATACCGCTGATGAAGAACATACTTAACGACTTCATAGAAGGAAACCACAATCCCAACAGAAGGGCCTGCACGGCCAACACGAGGACCAACTCCCATGAACAGTCCCTTTAGCCCTCCACCCCTGTCCCAAAGCAAATATCAATATAAGTGCATTACTAGTAAAGATCTACATGCCCATCACTGAAATTTATGTACTAGAAGGATACCTCCAAATCTCCATTAGTGTTTGCCTTGTTGTCATTTTCAGTGCCCTGACTGGATCGTTCTGATTTTTATTTTCCAAAAGAAAAATGTTCATAAGAACAGAGTACAAATATACAAAGTACAATACCTAAAATACTAAGCGACGCTCCATTTCATAAACAAAGTGCAACATGGATGCTAATTCTCCTTTACGTTCATCTAGTTCACTTTCAAAGTTTGGGAAAAGGATCAAACTCTTTCTCTTTTCTTTTTTTTTCCTTTTATGGGTTATCAAGAGATCGATTCAGAATGGAATAGAGAGAGAAGAAAAATACCTCTATCTGCCTTCGGGTTTTTGCAACATCCAATGGACACGTGGCTGCAGCAGCAAGGCTTCCTGCAACAAAAGCAGCAGAAAAATTTGCTCCAAGGACACTGACTGCATTGGCTTCATCACCGACTAGACCAAGAAGTTTTCTCCTGAGCTGCTCAGACAGAAAATGAATTGTTATTGAAATAATTGCTGGAAAAAAATAGATGTGGACAAAACAATGAAAAAAGGAATAAGTAATCAGAAGAATGAATCCATACGGGCTCAAGGGTTGACCAACAGATTGCTGAGAAGGGAACATCACGAGCAAGTTGTGCTCCCATACCCGTCCACAGGACACGATAGCCTTGCACTGTTAGAACAGAGAGTATATCAAAATCGTTTACTTCAAACAAAATTTAATTCTGGATCCAAAACGCCAAACTGCACTGAAAACCATAATGAGGGTGCCTCTACTCCTCAAATCTTAATTTGTGTTCATGGAAAAGTAATGAGTAGGTGTCCTGCTAAATATAATATTGCAAACCAAAATCTGATTTCCTAATAACTGCTGGGATGCATTTGCTTATTGTGCCGCAAAATTTGACTTCTATTAGAATTATGGGAAAATAACATGCATCCACCTTAAATTTACAGAACTCAAAGAACCAATCCAAGGTCAAACCATCAGAAGAATGTACTTACAATTCTGAACGTTACTAGTGGTCTTGACATGAGACAGGACACCAAATAAAGTCTTCAAAACACCAGGAGGCTTCCTACCATTTTGTATGACTTTGAATGCCTATTAACATTTTCAAAAACAATTAAATTAAATAAATAAAAATAAGAACCTCCACGCCTTTGCTTTCAGAGCCTGTCAAGTGTGAAACTTGCCAAAATAACATAACCTACCAAACATATCTTACACAAAATCTAAAATCAATTTAAACCATCAAAACAGAACAAAATTAACCATAAAATGAATTTTTAAACCTCTAAACTACCTGCATGCGAGTTCTAGCAAGTTCAATAGGATAGCAAGTTGCACAAGCTAACGAGCGTGCCAAGGAGCCAGCAACTAAAGGGACATAAGCAGTCGTACTTGGAGCATTAGTGGCAGTGAATTCCTCTAACCAGTTGCGAAATATGTCATAGCATGGTAGGTAAATCCCCACCTGATCAACAAAAAGGGGAGTCACGTAAATGAAAGAGCAATCGCATGCCCCAGCAAAAACCAAACTAAGACCTGAGCAGAATTAGAAGCTTACTGTTGGAACAGCCAAGGCTAATCCTGCATTTGTGCCTCTCCATAGCCTTGAAAATCCTTCCTGTGATATCACACTCCAAAATCAAAATGATAGACAAACACCTATTGCATCGGTAGACAGCATAATGTAGAGGAGCACATGTTTTCACTGACTAACCATGGCAATGTTATACATAGATAAGCACCGTGCATGCATTTCATGCTTTAAGAACAGGAAACTAACAAAGCAATATAATCATGAAATAAACGAGTAGGTGCATGCTTGTAACTACAGTTTTCATTTTCATGAACATTTGGCATAGTATACACTTAAAACGGCAAGACAAAACCGACCAACCTGTCGAATGATTTTGTAGAAGACATCCAATGTGCCTTTGTATTTAAAACAATCAGGAGGACATATTGATACAGTACCCTGAATTCCAGCATGTGTGCATGATGGTGAACACCTTAGATCTGCAAACAACTGAGCATACATAAAATAAAACAAAATTAATGGCCCACACACTGGCAGAGATCAACATTAAGCCAAATATCAAAGAGCCAAAACGACCAGTAAAGAACCTTCCTGATTGTGAAGGGATACATTTATCAAACACATATAGCATATAATTCAAAAGCTAGTAACATATGAAGGTACCCAAAAACACAGCCACTTGTCTACACCATAAAGTATTAGTGAAAAAAAGTTGAAGCATAATATTTCCCTGAAACCAACAGAAAGAAGAAGAAAAATCCAAGCAGAGACAATGTAACTCCCCACGTCCCAGCCTCTCAGGCAGATAATGCATCCATGTAACTCCCCATGCTCCTAATCCCACTCAAAGTTCTAACTGTGAGCTACTTGCAGAAACCAACCAATTTTAACTAATCATGTCTAGACATTAATGCAATAATCAACACAACTTATCACATGACTCAGTAGTATGGTCTATCAACCACCCTAGGCGGTGTATGTATCACACATTCTCATTTCCGTTTATAGCAATCCCGTGTAGGCTTGCATGATATGTAACAACATAAGCAGCCTCAACAAAGGTTAAAGAATCCAATCCTCTACAACAGAAAAAAAGGACAGAGAAGTATCGCATTCATACCATGCTTGGCCCAAAATATGCCATCCGACTTGTGACATTACTTAGTGGATGAGAGTAAGGAACTCCAGCTGCCTGAGCTTGCAACCTTGTCTGTAATAAGATAGAAATACAAGAACATTTTCTCAGTGCATGCTTCCAATCGGCAGCTTTCATATAAACGTTTGCTAAATACAATAAAATGCATCATATTAATAGCAACTAAGAGAGATAAAATGCACACCAAGGAGATCAACCAAGATATTCATCATAAGAGCCCTTCTCAATTTTGGTAGATTCCAAGTCCCATTTGACCGAAATATCTAAACTTCAAACGCTTTCAGTTTTTCCCTAATGCCGGTTTAATTTTACTTTTCCTCTCTCTCTCACTTCGTCGGAAACCAAACAGAGCACTACTAGAAACAAAAGCACGTACCTTGACAACGTCGAGAGGATTGACGATAATTGCGGATAAAAAAGCGGCACCGGCTGCCGATAAAGCTCGCTCGGCAACGCCCAATTGCCAGTCGGACGTGTTATTGTAGCTTGAACTAGGAGGCTGTGCGGCAGAGAATTCCACCCCATCTCTATCCGTAGTCGTCGATTCCGGACTCGACAAATCTCTACCGTCAATCCCAACTCGCTGGGTTTGCTCCGTGCTCATCCATGGATTTTGGGCTCGCTCCAACTCCACCATCTTGTTCGCGCCTCTCTCTCTCTCAATCTCTGATCAATTGCAATCTGACAAAATTTAATTTCTTTATCTTTTTTTAAATAAAAAATTGGAAACAAAAGAACATGAAATAAAAAATAAAAAAAAATTGTTTTCAAAATTGCTTGGAGAAGGAGGAAAGGCTGACCATAAACTAAGGCGGGCTACAGGAGAGGAAAGGGGGAAGAAGCGTATCAGCTTCGTGTCCTTTGTGAGGGCCACGTTTGTGAGCCTTTCTGAAAGCGACTCTTTTTGGTGGTAAACCTACTGGTGAAACAAACTGATTATATACTCACCAAAATTACAACTTAAAAAAATAATAAAAATAAAAATAAAAGCTCATGAAACTTCGGGAAAGGAAGGAGTGTAATATTTTATTTTATTTTATTTTTATATTTCTTTACACTGGTGAGTTTGAAATTTTAACTTTGCCTGATTTGATTTTGGTGGAAACAAACAGGGCCTTATTTCTTGTTTGGGAGCCGTTGCTCAACTTCTTCTAGGGCTTTCTATTTGTGCGTGCGACGTGGCGCGACTCTCGGCGTGGAATAACACCGAGCAAGCAAAGTTACATTTTTCTTTCCAAATTATTACAATTTTGGTTTTCTTTTTCTTGGACCATAAGTCAATCTTTCCATTTTATTATTTTTCATCCAATAGATAGATTTTGATTACCTGGAAACTAAAAAAGTTGAACCATATAAATCAAATTTAAAAATATTTCATTAATAAATTGTTATTGACACCCCCAAAATAATAATATTGAACTCCTTCTTCTTTTGTTTTTTCATTAAGAATGAGCGTAGAATAACTTTTTTGAGTGACAATAAAATCTCATAATACATATTTTATACACACATAAATAGTCAAAACTATCCCAAATTAATCTAATTTATGGAAAAGGGAGACTCGAAGTTAGGCGTAAGACGTCGAATTCACTGTTATGGCCAACTGGTCTAATCCACATCTGCAAAGCTCATAATATATCAATAACATAAACAGGTACAAAAATATCAGATTTTCCTTTTTAAACCCATCAAGTCATATTGATCATGACCCTTTCTTCTTTTAGGATTATGACCTTGTTCTTTTTTTTTGGGACGAAAGGATTATGACCTTGTTTTTTAACGAAAGATGCACAGCATATATTTATTCGACCAAATTAACCAACGACAATGTGCATACAATACAAAACTGTCAACCCACATAATTTTCAAGAATGCCAATTTCTCGGACAGAGACAAGCAAACACCCAGCTAGCTAGTGTAATTTCAAGACCATGCCAAATTGCCAAAGCAGAATTCCAATATTAAATACTAAAAATGAAAGCAAAATGACAAGCCACTGAAAACAATTCCATTAATCTATAGATTGGACCAACAACAAACCCCAAACATTGATGGGTTTGTCTACGTTGTTGAAGATAAATTTCATCTCCTTGGATGCCATGCCACAACCAGCCAATAACTTCGATCTCCCAAATAATATGTTACCATTAATTGTAAAAGAAAATATAAATAAATATGTTAATCCATTACATTTGAGCTCACAACATGGCGATTAATTTATTAAAATTATACCATAATCTCAATTAGAATAAACCCTAAATTATTGATTACAATAATGTAAGCATAAAAGCATATGTGTAGAATATCCTTGATACGTACCCTTTGTGATTTCTTGTAGTTCTCTCACAGCCTAGGTCTAAACGTCCGTCATTGTAATACTTAGCCATCCCATAACAATCATTAATAATTCCTACTAATTATATTTCCCTATATAATCATGATCATCATCTAGTCCTACACCAGCAGCAACCACAACCATCTACGGCAGCAGCAGCAACTTAATTACGAAAATGGCCCTAGCCGTGCTGAATGCACTGGACTCAGCTCGGACGCAATGGTACCACGTAACGGCCATTGTCATCGCCGGCATGGGCTTCTTCACCGACGCGTATGACCTCTTCTGCATCTCCACCGTCTCTAAGCTTCTCGGCCGCCTTTACTACTTCAACCCTGACTCAAAAGTGCCCGGAAAGCTCCCTAAGCATGTCAACAACATGGTGATCGGCGTGGCCCTAGTCGGCACCCTATCGGGCCAACTCGTGTTCGGGTGGCTCGGTGACAAGCTAGGCCGCAAGAAGGTTTACGGGGTCACCCTCATCATGATGGTCATTTGCGCCATTTGCTCAGGCCTGTCGTTTGGCTCCTCAGCACCCGCTGTGATGACCACCTTGTGTTTCTTCAGGTTTTGGCTAGGGTTTGGGATCGGCGGAGACTATCCCCTTTCCGCCACGATTATGTCCGAATACGCCAACAAAATGACACGTGGCGCGTTCATAGCGGCGGTGTTCGCAATGCAAGGTGTGGGGATCATTTTTGCAGGGCTGGTTTCGATGGTCTTGTCGAAAATCTTCCTGAGCTATTACCCAGCACCGGCGTTCCAAGCCAGCCCTACGGATTATTCGCACGTGTTGTCAACGCAGCCGCAGGCAGACTATCTGTGGCGGATTGTGCTCATGATTGGGGCGTTGCCGGCAATCGTGACTTACTACTGGCGGATGAAAATGCCCGAAACAGGTCGATACACCGCCTTGATTGAAGGAAACGCCAAGCAAGCAGCCGCGGACATGGGCAAGGTTTTGGATATCGAAATCCAAGCTGAACAAGATAAGTTGGCACAATTCAAGGCTGCCAATGAGTACCCATTATTATCCATGGAGTTCTGTAGGCGCCACGGACGTCACCTAATAGGTATATTTTCAAATTGATATGTTTTTAAATTTTTATAGAATCGATAATTTACTTTAAAAACAATCCAACATACGGGGAGAGAAATTCAAACTTTAATACAAAGGGACAAGAAATTATAGAATATTACGGTAATATAGTCACGTGGTACATTTTGTAGATATGTTATAATATGTAGGACTACATGGTTTATTTTACCATAAATTAGTATTAATAAATATTCACTTATATTATAACATGTGTGTAAGATTTATCACGTGACTGTAATACTATAATATTCTATAATCACTCCAAAGAAACTAATTGCCTGACCTAAACTGATATATTAGACATAACATATTTTCAATATTTTTTTAGTACTCTGGATATTTTGTCCATATTATTTATGTATTAATTCTCAAACCCTCATCAGGTACAACGACCACTTGGTTCTTGTTGGATATCGCCTTTTACAGCCAAAACCTAACGCAAAAGGACATTTTCCCGGTAATGGGTTTGACACAAAAGGATGTTGAGGTTAACGCTCTGCAAGAAATGTTCGAGACCTCACGAGCCATGTTTGTGATTGCGTTCTTCGGCACTTTCCCTGGTTACTGGTTCACCGTCTTCTTCATCGAGAAACTCGGGAGGTTCAAGATCCAACTTATAGGGTTCTTCATGATGTCTTTCTTCATGTTGATCATAGGCATCAAATATGACTATCTCACAACCAACAAGTACATGTTTGCAACCTTGTATGGTCTCACCTTTTTCTTCGCCAACTTTGGCCCAAACAGCACCACTTTTGTTCTTCCGGCTGAGTTGTTCCCTACCAGGGTCAGATCCACGTGTCACGCGTTGAGTGCGGCGGCGGGAAAGGCCGGTGCCATGGTGAGTGCGTTTGGGGTGCAGAACTATACTACGGGTAAGGGAACGAGAGATATCCAGAAGGCTATGTTCTTCTTGGCTTTTACGAACATGCTAGGGTTTTGTTTCACGTTCTTGGTCACTGAGACTAAAGGCAGGTCGTTGGAGGAGATCTCCGGTGAGGATGGCGGTGGCGAAACAACTGGAACACAGATGACTGGTACCAATTCATCATCAGTGATTAGGTAGTTAATTAACAAGGTTTAATTAGCAAAGCCGATCAATTAAATAAGTATTTACTATTTGGTTATGATATAAATATATATATCAATAAATGAGCTCGATGGAGCAAATTTAGAGTCATTTGCTCAGAAGCATGCCCTATAGGCACAAATAAGAGCTGCCAAGTGTTGTGAACTTCCAAGTGAAAGAAAGTTTTAGTGGGGGTGAGGTTTTTATATTGTTTATTTTCCTTCTTTCATGTATTTCTCAATGTAACATATAGAGTGAAGTGAAAATTAAGATGTTCGTATATGTTTGTTTGCTACACCCACACAGTCATTATTAAAGAATCGATCTTATTTTAGGCCACTACTTTTCCTTAGTTACAAAAACATATGTTATTATATATACCTAATGAAAAGATCGCAATACACAAACTCCTCACTACATCCCTCAAATGATTTATTGGTTATGCAAATGATTGATTAATTAATATTCGAAAACTTACCATTGTAATAACTTAACAGAAACTATCTTGTTTATAAATATCACAATCCACTTTTCTATTGAATTTAAATTAAACGGCCCGTGCAAATGACCCACTAGTCTAGTTGTTTTGAGTAATTGTTTCTCTATGAAAAGTTATGGGTTGAAGTCCTAATATTCGTATAATGTGTGTAAGTTTAGCATATTACTGCCCCTCTCAATAAGAAATGGAATAAGGAAAAACTCACACACACCCACACTACTACTGTGGGGGTTTGAACCAATTGAGAACAATAGCACACCAAATAAATGGGTCATTCCAACTAACACCCTATTAATAAAAAATAATTATCAAACAACCTCAAAGCCTTTGGGCCAAAGGAAACATATGTTAGAAGTGTGACATAAAGCACGAAAAATTAGCTAAAATGGACGGCTTAGATTGTCCGTTGATTTACGCATCTCATTTGAATAAAAGAGCGGTGTGTGTAGTGTATCAGCGCACTTTATTCGTTGCAGGCGCTACATCAACTCCCACGTGTCGCACTCTACCCTTGACACCTAAGAAACCCGAACCGTCTCAGCTGGACCACACTCTCTGAAAATTGAAGCCCTAGAAATTAGTCTCTTCTCCCCCAAATTTCCCTCCATGAAATGGGACATGGAAATCGAAGATATTGAGGCGGTGCTCGAGAAGATTTGGGACCTGCACGATAAGATCAGCGACGCCATCCACTCAATTTCGAGAGCTCACTTCCTCAGCTCTGTCAATGCCCTGAGACGTTCCGACAAGAAGAAGCCGCACGCCAACGACGTCGCTGTTGATGAGAACCGAACCGGCTACGTCTACGTGAAGAACTTCCGACACGACCACGACGATGACTCGGTGATTCGGGAGGCCAAGAGCCTCAATGCGATTCGGACCGCGCTCGAGAACCTGGAGGACCAGCTCGAGTTTTTCCATGTAAGTTCATGGCTTTCTAGGGCTGGTCTTGTTAATTTCTGTTTGCTTACTTGAAAACCGTAGGAAAATAGAAGAATAAGCGACGAAATGTTTGATTGCGTCTAGTCGTTTGAGCTGTATTAATTATAGAAATTAGACAAGTGGATATATAAATGCTTACATAAAATAATGGCTCATTCGGATTTCAATATTTAAAGATATTTGTTAGCTTTTTTGGTGGTGGTACGTGTAATTTGGTTAGTTTCTGTTTGGTTGCCGGGAAAATGAAAGAGATGAAAAATTAATGTGTAATATATGGTTTATGCCGTTGCAGTATCTGAAATTCTGTACTAAGTAGCTAAGTGCTTATGTAGTATGAAAACTGTTCAGCTTGGGTTCCTTCTTTCTATAGAATATAAATTTGTGCATAGAGCAATAAAAAGCAGAACAATAGTGCAGAGGCAAATGTAATTCCAAATGTGATCGGTGGACATTAGAGACACGTAGGTTTGTTAATGGTTTCCGTAGAGCAAAAGAGATTATGATAAGTAAGGGATAAAAAAAATGGTGATGAAGATTGCTGACCATTAGGTGGCTTCTCTGTTACATTGTACATGAGTAGGAAGTTTTCATAGGACACACCTGTTGCATTACCTATAGAGTGCCTAAGGTCAAGTGGTTGGGGATTAGTCCTTAACTTCAATTTTGAAAACCATGATTTGAAGTTATATTGTGACTTTGTTGCGTATTGCTGAAAGTTGCATCGCTCTTAAAGGACGAAATACTCTGTTTCTGTAACTGCTGCATGGTTTTGCTTGTGAAACTCTCTGTTTGGATTGCACTTTGATATTCCGCATCTTACCAGCTCAGGCATACTTATGTCAATTTGTTTTCTTAACTAGACTGTGCAGGTGCAGCAGCGGGCTGAGAGAGATGCTGCGATTGCACGGTTAGAGCAAAGCCGTAAGGTTTTAGCAATGAGATTGTCTGAACACCATGGTAAGAAATACCAAGTTATTGAAGAAGCTCTTGCCTTTGTGGGAGATGTCTGTGATGCAAGTCGCTTCGTTTCACCTGAAAATCTTTATGGTCCTCCAATCAGTCCTTCTGCTGAGAAATTGGAAGCCTGTGAAGGGAAGAGGTCAAATATTATAATCAAAGTTCTCATTTCAAGTATCAATTTTGCTAAGAAATCCCTTAAATTGGATAATATGGGTGGAATACTTGGCAATGCTGGTTTGGTGGCAGTTAGCATGATTGCATTGGTGCATCTGAATCAAGTAGCTATGAGGGAGCATCCACAGAAGCTGGAAGAAAACAGAAATGCTAGAAAAACTTCCCGGGTAGAGGGGACTTCGTCGACTGCTCGATTCAGCAACTTGGATGTGCTATTGGCTAGGGGTTAGCTCAGAAGTCTTAAATTTCTGTAGCACAGAATTAAATGGTAGGTAACCAAACTGTTGGTATAGTTGTATTTCATCCCACGGAAAGTTTGCAGAATTTGGCAAAGAGGTTTGGTAATGAGTAATCCCGTAGGTTGTTATTTTCCAAACTGCAGTAGAGGCGTAAAGCTTCCTCTCCTCCTTTAGGCTATGGGCGAAGGCTTGGTAAACATATACCCGTAGATGTTTTTTTATACAGGTTGTTTGGCTTTCTTCCTTTTGTCATTTGAAATTCTTTTGTGTATATTAAGCACTCTGATATCTACAGATTGTTGATATACCAACTTAGGCTCGTCTCTGATTGTGTAGGCAATGGGCCTACATATATGAGTTGGCCCAATTTGTAGAACCCACTAAAACTACCAGCCTTGCTCCCAAAACTAATAATGCGAGCTCCAACTCTAAGCAATCTACTACGAGGCGAGAAGCCATTTCTCAAGTCAAAGAGCAAACTAGTTAGGGATTGAAACCAGGAGGTAACCAATGACGTCATTCATTCAAAACCTCAAAACTCAACAACCAATTTCTAGAAAACCCACTTGCATTGCAATTTGCATGCATCATAACCGGAGAAACTCTGATAACAGAGGACCCATTTACATGGGCCAGCCCTCAAGACTTTAGACGCCTAAAAAGGCTGTCTGATTTGCAGGAGCCAACCCCTGTGAGACTTTGGAGGAGCCTCATCGTCACTTTAAAGGCAACAATAAAGCCCTTAAATCTGATTTCGGTCAACCCAATTTGAACACACATTATTTCTAACGATATCTTTTTCTAAGCCTTGCTGACCGTGCCGCAGCAACATACCACATGCAACTTGCGAGAAACAAGCAAAGCAAACCCATTTGTGTATTTAGAGTTAGACCAACCTTAGTGGATTGGTTGTCAATGTTCAGTGTGACTCATGTTTGATTGGAACCAAATACAGATTGAATAATATATGATGGGGGGATAATTTGAAATTAACAGAAGGAATAATGTCGGAAAGCAATTTGCTCTATTCTTTAGGCTTTTTGGGGTGTCGGTCTTTGCCAAAACCAAAAAAGTTGAAAGGGTTTGAACACATAATTAGCCTCATAATTTGCAGCTGTGTGTAAACACTTTCTTGGACTTCCTATTGGATGCGTGCATCACTCAAAAGCTCATGTAATGTAACAAACAGAAACAGAAGCAAAGAAAAACTTCCCCTTTTGAAGAAAAAAATATGTACATGTCATGTATGATATGAGAGGACAAGATGAAAACATACTTCCCAACTTTTCTTCCTCCTTTCGTGATCTCAAATTGACAACAAAGATTTTGTGTCCTCTTCGGTAGAGAATGTCAACCAAACGAGGCACCAGGTCAACTCGAAAATACACAAGGAAATTGCATTTATAAGAATTTTAGTAAAAGTGGAAACATACCTCAATCAAATTTGTCTTTAAATGGTTTGAAATGCTAAGTAAACTATCAGAAAAAGATATTCATCTTTTGGGAACGATTCAAACACAATCTATTTTGCACAATCTACTGGTTATGTTTTGTATATTTCTAAAGTGAACCAGCTGAGCTGTCGACATTAATAAAGTTGCTGCACTGCACCGGGTGTTATTTTCTTTGTTTTTCTCCCTCTCAAATGCAGAAGTCGTGTTCTTTTTACACAGATACACACGTGAAGGCATGCACTCACATGTTTATTATAACAATTAAAACATATCATGCCGGATGCAGGATTTTGAGTACATATGGTGTCCGGCATTTTGAGTACATATGGTTCCGGCACCGTATGTACTCACATCCCGCAACAATCCCACTCCGTATATCTTTATATGCAGAGACCTCTGGATTGCTAAAATACACTTAGAACAAGTGCATGCCAAAATTTTCTTTTCAATTTCTCAAAACCCAATGAACCTTTTGGGAATGAATGATTGGGAGAGTGTCGTGGGAGGGACAATAATATTAGATTGGGAATTTAACAATATTAAAGAAATATATATATATATATACTCCAACTCATTGTATTATATTACATAAATTACAAGAATAGAATACAGAAAAGACATTGCTTTGATTTCAAGTTTAATGAGTACTATAGAGAGAGAGACTGTCAAAATCAAATCTTGTCCATATAGAACATGGTCCATATTGAAGAAAATTCTCCTCTATATGCAGGGAGAAATGTCACACATTCTCTCCGTCCCACAAGGCCATAACTCCATTCACCATCGCTGTCGGTAGGTGAAATTGAGTAGCGTCTTCCTCTGGTGGGATCCATGAGGTGGCGCCGGTGCCACGTGTCCCATGATAAGCAGTGCTGACTGCTCCTGGAGTTTGCCACGTGTGCATAGAGATGGGAGACAGTTGCAAATTTGGGAGGTTGCAGAGCAGAGGCCCCATATATATTTTCACGTGTTACCCACCCCATTTGTCTTCTCGGCCCATGGGCCCTCCTGACTTGTTTAATTTTTATTAAAATAATGTAAAAATTAAGATTAAAATTTTTTATAAAAAAGAAAAAAGAAAAAAAAGAAGGAAAGTGTTTATAGTGTTAGATAGATTGGACGGTTGCCGTACATGAGAACGTGAGTGATGAGAGGTCGACCATGATTCGTCAACCTTCAACTAAAAAGTCATCATTCTCATTAATTAAGCACGATTTGGTGGAGTCTCTCCTAATCACTTTAGGACTCAACTGTTTCAAGTTTGATGACCCATCAATAAAACTTCAAGTGTAAAGGTAATTGCTCGTAATTACTTGAGTTACGACTTTTTCGTAAGATATTTGAAACTATTGAATATGAAACTGTAAGACATATTCCAGTTAATGCATGTGGTAGCATTAATGTAGCCCCGAAAAGAAGAAGGAGCGAAAAAACAGAAGAAAAGATTTATAGAGTGGGCGAAGCATGAGAATTGGCTGCGGGCAGCAGGTGGTGGTGGTGCTGCTGTTCTGAGGCCAAAGTCGTGGGGGGACCAGGCAGGAACGGAAGGAAAGAAAAGCAAATGTAGTCTATATCTATATAGAGAGATACAAATTACAATCGGGCTCAGATTGTGTGTTGTCATTGTTCATTAATTTGGTATGCGTTCAAAAATTCAACACTTGAAATTCGAAAACAGGCACAGTGAAAAGAGAAAGAAGCCCACTTGCAAATTACAGCAAATCAGAGGGGCTTACCCATTAGTAACCATGCATGTAACTGGCAACTAGTCTCTGACATTAGTTATAAAGCCTGCTCTACTTCTTTTGCTTTCTCTCTCTCTCCTTTGCCTCTACTAATTGCCCCACACCTCCTTCTGGTTAGTTGACAAGTGCCCCCCAAAATCACCATTCTTAAATACTAGCATAATATTTTCTACTTAGAAGTGATACAAGTTGTACTGTAAGAGCTTTGGGAAGTATAATAATGAATGGATCGATCCCATTCTAACCAACAAATCAAAATGTCCGTTTATGCGTGCATGAACGACTGTAGCTAACTTATACTTACAATATCTATGCCATTGGAAGGGAGACGGTGCGACGGCATTCAGGTCATGGTGTGCAGGTAATAAGGAAATGTGTGCCCACCAGCACCCAGGCTCGTCTTGCTATATAAATACTAATGCTTCCACACAGAACAGAACAGTGTATCCAGACAGCGTAACAAACAGCAAATTTAGAATTTTTAAAAAAATGAGCCAAAAAATTACTATGTGTACGTGTACGTTTTACTGTGGTTTTTCGTGCATGCATCTGCCGTTTTTGAAGATCCTATTCCTATGCGTTATGAAACAATCTCAATCTGTGACAGTTGTCTTCGGAATCAAAGGTTGACTAGTTAACACATTTTACCCACCAGCTTCTCCTTGTCTGGTTTTTCTCCAGAAATGAAATTTCCATAACCTTTTACCCTCCTTTCAAATCAAATGTTGTCTTTTTCTTCTTTAATAGTTGCAAATACAATCTCTGCACTACGCTCCCTTCCCTTGAATTATTCATGAATGATGAACCCTAAAAAGCAAAATAAATATATTACAGAGTAGATGGGGGTACAATGCAAGAAGGATAAATAATTAATGATTAATCCCATTAATTAATTTGTTATTATTGGCAGCAACCACCTTCTCTCAATAGTCAATACTGTTGATGGCCGTTGCTGGCACAATTGCAAAATTAAGTGAGTATGGAAGAAAAGTTGCTGGACGAATTCAATTTGTAACATAAAGCGTCAGTTTGTGTTATGCGTTTTGGTTAAAGTTGTCAGCACACCATCACCAACTTGCACGATGCATAATATATGCCACTTTCTCACTTTTTACCTAACCATGTTTTCATTATTCTGTGTGTCAAAAACGGAAGAAAAAAAAACACACACACACAGACAGTAATTTAAGAACATAGATACGTATCATCAGCATCTCACGTGAAAAAACAACAACATGATCATGAAAGAAACTACTGAGACAGTAACACTTGGCCAGAAAAAGATTATGTTTTTATTTTTATTTTTTATGGTGTGGTAATTTTCAAAGACTAGTTTGCAATCATTTTGTGATGATTGAGAGAGAATGCATGCTTTGGTTTGGTATATCAAACTTTTCTGATTTTTTTTTAAAATTTTCCAAACATTCTCATTTATAAAGGCTCCGTTTAGACGGTGAATAAAGGCTCCGTCTCTGATTAAATTGTACAACAACACACTGTTCAAAAATTCGTGTGCTTTGACGGTCGATTATTGAGTTCACTAATTAAATTGTGCACTTATTGGGGAAAGAGAGGATAATAAATGACAAATCAACCAACTTACCGAAAGAGAAAGAAAAAAAAACACTGAATCCCCGTCGGTCAAGGACATAAATAGAAATAAATCATTTGAAAGACTTTTGCTTTGATTAGCTATAGGCTGTAGGTAAGAGACACCACCTACGACTCTAGACATGTAGAGAAATCTATAGTCTCCAGGTCTTGGTCTCCTTGATAGATCCTGGGACGTCGTTTGGGATATTAAAAGTTCCATTCCATGTGACATGTTTATATTACAAACAAAAAAACACATTTAACATGTTTTGTTGCTCTCTCGTTATCAGCAAAGATAAGAGAGAAAGCTGTATTAGGAATCATTATTAATGATCATAATGCGTTTACTTGCTTCCTTAATTAGGGAAACGGTATTGAATGGCATTTCCCTTTTAGATAATATTAGGGAAGATGCATGAAAGAGCAAAACGAAGTTGCCTATGTGCCAATTGCAACGAGGAAAAATATAAGAAGAAAGAAAAGCGTTCTATATATGCACTCAAAAGTGCAACGTGGAGAAGTCAGCAACACAGCGTATGAAATGATGACTTGTTTTCATGGGTCACACGCCCAAATTGCATGCCATTTTCTTTGATTTTGCACATATTGACCCAGTTCATTTCATTTTCCTTACCAACCGGCAAACGGCTGAAAAAGGACCCATCTCCCTCCCTCCCTCGCCAATCTCACCATTCTCACCATTCTCACCAATCTCATCAACTATGAAATGAAAAGAAGCAGCCCTCCGTCGGCTGGCTCCATGCATCATGTCCACAGTCTTATGGAGGAGCCCTTTGGATTGGAATAATGGTATACTGGGGCAATGGGTCAACTCAAATCAAATTATATGTTTCTACCTTAAAAAGCTTTTCCTTCCATTCCATGATTTCACACCCGGAAAATCCAATTCTAATCTAATCTGATGTGATGTGATGATAATTACGGTGCCAATTATGCTGCTACAAAAGTAATTCATTAATTACCATTTTAACATTGCCAATTGCATCAGGGTTTTGGGTAAAATCTCTATATTTATGAGTGGAGATACGTAGGTTATCATTAATTGTCTACTTTTCTTCTTCTTGAGTCTTTCCATTAACATGTAAATATCAACTTATTTGAGACATAATCATGGGGGCTACCTCCTCTTGTTTACTCTCAAGCAACGCAATTACCAGTGTTTGCAAATTGCAAGGGCCACTTAAATAATTAATTTGTGATAAATAGACAGACGAATCTTCTCATAACATTCATCTCAAGAGTTAATTTCCCCCATAATATTTCTGAAAATGACATCAATATTTCGAATCTTGGTTGCAAAAGATTTACATTCATAGCTAATAAGAGTTGGTTGAATTAGTAAGGATCGTTCTCTTTGCTAGAAAGAGGTTTGTGTAAATTCTCAAAGAAGCCTTGATATGGTAAGCTAAATTCCTAAATATTATACTTGACGGGAAGGATCATTTTTCATTTTCCATGCATGCCAAAGTAACGATGCCAGCTCAGCTCTGATTTAAATCCCTCATTAGCCATTAATACATCACATAACATTCACCATAAAAAGGCCACATTTATTTTTTGTGAGCTTATGCCTTTCCCCGCATAAAGTTGATTTTTTTATTTATCTATGTGAATGTGTGACAATAGCCATTATAAACGTTGAAGAAAAAAAAGAAGAAACAAACAAAAGCTCCAAAATATTGGACTTATTGGAGCTACAAATTCACGCCTATTTTGACCCAACCCAACCGGCCACCACCGCAAATCGCGCGACTACTCCTCTCTCTACTCGTTTGGGCAAAAAGAATGCCACAGTGAGTGACTTTCAGTAATTAACAAATTTAATTTAATTAATTATACTTCGATAAAGTTAAAAGGCGATGACTCCGTTAAAACCAGTATATATTTAAAACATTATATAAATATTTTCATTAATCCGCCAAAATTAATAAATAATTATACACTCGGTGAACCACAAAACTCTCACTCAACTAAACTCTCCGTCAATTTTTTAACGGAGATGTTCAAACGAATAAATAAGTAATTACTAATACTAATACAGCAAAATTAATAATTAAAAAAGATGCCGAAATTTGGTCCGGAACAACAAAAATCTGACCCAGAAATCGGTCAGGCGACGGCGGCAAAACTGTGGCTTCTGACTGGCTCAGGCTCAGTCTCAGTCTCTCAGAGGACAACAAGGGGGTCTGAACCAAACAAAATGTCGTGAAAATAGTCCTCCCCCCCTTGGCACATAGACGACGTCGTCGGTGACAACGACGTGTCGTATGTGTCACGAAACATGTCGCTGAAATCCTCCTTCAGTAAACACTCGGGAAGCGTCGCGGCCGCGGCGGTGGCGTCGTCGTCGAAAAACATCGGCGTATCGAAGAACAAGGGAGAATCCGGAGCTGGGAAGCTGAACACGTCATCCAAGTACGGGAAGTCCAGAGGCAAATAATTACCCAAATCGTCCGATGCGAAATTCGTACCGGTCTCATCTTCACACTCCTGCATTACTTGGTCAAATACCTGAAGCTTTTGCGGCTCATGAGCTTCTTCCATTTTGGGCTGAGTTCTGAAGTGAAGAACAGAGGTAGGAGATGACAGATTGTTGTGAGACTCCGACCCGGAATCGTAACCAGAACCCGACGTCGTTCCGTTGGTGATCTCGACCTCAATAACAGGCTCAGCCTCAGGCTTAACGGGAAGCTCTGGCTTCTCTTCTTCTTTGGGTAGCGGTGAGACGAAATTAGTTAAAGCGTCAGGGCCGCGGAGTTTAATGGCGGCATTATCATAAACCATAGCGGCCTCCTCAGCAGTTTCGAAGGTCCCCAACCACAGCCGTACACGACGGGCGGGATCTCTAATCTCAGCCGCCCATTTGCCCCAAGGCCGTTGCCGTACGCCGCGGAACTTCCTGCTCCCATTGGTCTGCGAAACGGAGTTTTTCACCGTCCGCCGACTCGCCGGAGGCTCGACGGTCGACCGTTTGCGGCCGTTGTTGGGGAGGACCAAGGTGTTTCTGAAGTCGGTTTCGATGTTGATTTCGTTGACGTAGTGCTTCACTCTCTGACGCCCAAAACACTCGTCTTCTTCGCCACTGGAGGAGTCCGTGGCGTCTGGATCGGTCATAGAAATTCGAACGATTCTCGGGATGGATGAAGAGGTAGACTCCGTTGTTGGTTTCTTCCGGGGTTTGGTCAATTTTTTGGTGGTGCTTCGGTGCTCAGTGTATTTGATTGGACATAGAATACTAGAGTCCATTTTCAAGTCCAAGATTTGTTCTTTTTTCAGTGGTGGTACGGGAAGGCTCTTTGATTCTCTCTCTATGTTCGCATCGGAAGGAAAAAGAAGCAGAGACCCCACAAAGGGCGGCAGAGAATAAAGAGAACCAGTAAGCGAGAAGACTCAAAAACTTAGAGATAAGCAGAGAACAGGGAAGAGGCTTTGCCTTTAACAAAGGCAAGAGGAAAGAGAAAATGAGAAAGTATGGGAGGGGAAGAATGATGTTAAAAGAGTGGTGAGGAAGGGGGTCTTTAAAGGAGGAAGCAGAAAAGCATAAATGGTAAGTGAGTTAAGCTGCTGCCCAGCCAATTCACTCCTGATTGTAAAAGTAGCAAAACAGGAAGTTTTTCTTTGATTTCTACAGTGTTTGATACCTGAGGCTGAGGGGGCTCAATCTGGAACCTCTGATCAAATCCCAGCAAAGTGCTGAAGAGTAATCTAACAAGAATATAGCCCGAGAGAGAGTCAAGAGGGAGGTAGGGGTGGAACAAGTATGCGGAATGTTTTCAGAGTTGAGAGAGAGAGAGAGAGAGTGAAGAAGAAGCAAAAGCAAAACGATTTGAATGTTTAGTTTCGGTGACCACCAAAACACTCCATCGCTGTTTTATAGGATCTCAACAGCCGAAATTAGAAAATCCAAAATTACTGTTCTAATATTTTATATTTTTATTTTTATAAAGTAAGAAAAAATTATCAGAAGCCGGTTACTGGTTCCGGTCATGACCGTGGAGATATGAGAAACAGATACCATATACGGTCCGCCACATCCCGAGAATACGTTCAGATTGTTACACGTATACATGGTGGGTCCGCGACAAGCTCGGGCCCAATGAGCGAACATCATAAGCTGCTGACTCAGCAAATATCATTTCACTTATGCATCTTGAACTCCGTGAGGCCTGTCACGTGAGGCCCAAGATGCCCGGCCCTGCTACATTCGTCGGTCAAATTGTTTGACCGCTTAAAAGAGTTCACTTGCTTAATTTACTTACTTACTCTTTTCCGCTCGTGGGTTAATAAGGTAATCATGCGAGGGTATAGTTGTCACTTTGTAATCCGTTGCAATGGTAACAGTTCAAGTTGTGCTGGCTTGGTAGGTGATTTTAGTGTTTTTTTCATTTTAACCCACTTAAAATAAAAAAAAATTACTTTTTAACAGCTGGAGTAACGTGGCGGGCAACTTAGAATTCGCCGCCATTTATAATTGGGGTTTTGTACGTCTCTGGGTTTTTTCTGCCTATTTGTTCCCACTGCCGAGATATGCTCACCTTCCAATCTCATCACTTAATTTGTCTACGCTAATTTCTTGCCAAGCAAGTCTTTTCAAAATAAAAAAATAAAAAATAAAAAAAATAAAGTCTTATTAATTTACTATGAAAAAAAATAAAAAAAAATTTGGCAGCCAAGTATTTTACCATTTTTACCACTTCATCAGTCTATTTCAGTAGAGGAAATGAGTCCTAGTGTGATTAACTATTCATGTCACCTTTATTAAATAAGAAATTTTAAGTGTAATTTCTCTGCCAGCTATTAATTTGGTTTCATTTCTTTGTTTCTAATTTCTTCGTGGCATCGTAACGGTCATTTGATATTTTGTGCAAATGATTATTGATAATTAAATAATTACCATAACACAATTTCTTTGCATTCGAGAAACAAATTCTATACAGTTATAGAATTTGTCAAGTACAGCTATGTGTCAATTTTATTTTGAAATACATAATAATTAAGTAGCCTCGCATTATCACATAAAGCCAAGAAAAGTAATAAATTAAAAAGAAATTGTGGTCAAATGTTATTAACCTTATTTGATAAACGGTAACTGGTGCTGTGGATTACAGTCAAAATTTCACAAATCTCGGTTATAATTTGTCCCTTTAATTACTTGACAAAAACAAACAATGCATTGGTTAGAAATTGTCTAAGGTAAGTCATCTAAGAGCATCCACCATCATGCTCCTTATTTTTTAGTCAAAATTTAGTTTTAAAAAAAAACTAAAAATCTATTTAGGTGTTGGATAGAGACTACCGTTAGAGCATTCACAATGATGCTATCTATTTCTTAGCTAAAATTTAGCTAAAAATATCATAAAGCTATTTTAGGAGCTCTCTAAAAAATTTCAACTCTAACCATACTCCCTAATTTAGAGAGTCATAAATGCTATAACTCTTTTTTGATTGGTCCATCTCTATTAAAAATATAAAAAAATAGTTAGCATTAAATAAAGGTTTGAAATACTCATTCAATAAAGCAGCATTAAATTATAGGGAATCACTAGGAGTCATTTCTCTCTCCTCATATTTAGGAGCTCCTAGAGTACTCCATATTTTAAGAGGTGGATAGGGAGCGTGATTGGAGTTGCATTTTTACGATTCCTCCCTAAAATTTGTCTAAGGAGGTAGTTTAAGGAGCCCATTGTGGATGTATGTTTTCTCACTTCCTCCCTAAATTTTATATAAGGAGGTGGTTTAGGGAGTTCATTATGAATGTTTTAAATAGAAATTAGTTTGACTTTTGGAATTGATGTCCAAATCATATATTCTCTCGAGTTTACAGGATAATATACGAAATTTTGAAAACAGGATGTTTGCTTAATTATAAGGATATCGAAATTGGTTTGATTTTGAAACTCGTGGAAAAACAGCAAGTACAAAACATAAATTAGAGTAGTTGACCCCAGCCTGTTGACATTTAATTAACTAATTAACAAGGTTAATTGTCCATTGGTCCATATCTAATCATAGTACGTACAACATTTGCAATTGGTTGGCTGGCTACTATTGTCTTCTTCTGTATGTGTGTGTGTGTGTGTTTAAGGATATGGGCAGTACATAATCTGTCGTTGTAATTATTGTTCCCCTCCCGTTAATTCCTAGGCGAGTAGCAAAAACTCCAAGGACTAGGGAAACTCAACTTAAATAGACCAGAAGCTAAAAAACAGATTCCACGATATTTTCTTGCCTGCAGTAACGAAGACAGGGATGGCCTTGTATCAAGAACTTGACCATACATTTTTCTCTCCTTGTTTACAAAAGTCTGAATGAGTCGAACTTTAAAATTCGTTAAGAAGTGCGTTGTACTACTAGAGTTACAAGCACCGCTTACTGTCAAAAATTTCGAAAAGAAGAAAGTGTTATGTTACATGTATCATATTCGTTGTAGTTAGAGTGATATCTGTTTAAATAAATGTAAAATAAGTAAATATTAATAGCAAAAATGTGAGTCTTGGTATATTATGCTTGCATGGCTTGAACGTTAATTAATGATAAAATGAAAATCAGACATTGGCTCCAAACGGTGAATCAAACAAAAAAGCCGACTTGGTTTGTTTTCGTTTACGAGTTGAAAACTCGTAGACTAAAAGACCAATAAAAACTCATGTTACTGGTGACCTGGGCTCTCCTAGCTCCAGCGATGCGAATGTCATTATGTGGCACCCAATGATTGGTTTGTTAATTAGGCCCTCACAATCACAGAGAGTCACAGGTTCCTTATAAGAGGTTATAGCTGAATATGAATTCGAAGAAGAAAAAAAGAAATGAAATTGCCGATTTGGATAGGGGTGTTTTGGTTTACATAGCATCAGTTTGCGTTTGAAAATACGTGGGGTTGAAGCATTATGAGCAAATTGGGTGGTAGCGGTCCAACGGAGCACCATTTGTAGGCAAACAAAAGCATCAAGGACTTGTCACGCGTAGCACGCCTGCATGTAAAATCTGATATCTCAAAGACTGACTGACTATATAAATATATAAATATATATATACACTCTTTCACATGATGATCATGGCTATACGTGGCTCTATATATATACCACGATGTCACATGATCAAGAAATAATATGAATGGAACACATTTCCAGGACTTTCTGGAGTCTGGAAACTTAACCTCATGTGCCCTTCATCTCTGCCTCACTCGGTGTTTATTGTGATTACGTGAAAAGTCATTTTCTACTTCACCTTTATTTTTAGGATTATAACAATTAAATTAACCGACTATTTCATCCAATAAGTGCATTTAAAACTTTACATGTGAATCTCCCTCCAGTACCAGTACCAGCAACTTGGAATTTGTTTTAAAGGGGGAAATTAAAAAGCAGCGGCAGCTTAGAATAAAGTTTGGCCGTGGTCCTCCAACTATAGTCCGAATGAAGCTTTCAGTTTTGGGAAAGGACAGAACGCAAACTAGTGGAGTAGTGCAGGTAGGAGGAACTCTATCTGTTGTTGAAGGATGTATACATAGGGCTTTTTAACTCATAGACTGTTTTGTTCTTATAATTTAGAAGAATACAAGTTGAAGAGAATATTGACAACAATTTATTAAGTCTCAGTCTTAAAGTATGATCTTTATTATGTTTAAGGACCTAATTTTGCCAAAGTTTTCTTAAGTTGTACAGGTGTAAGCGTAGGGGAGAGAGAGAGAGAGAGAGATTATAACTTGAAGATCCCATGCATCATGTTTAATTGGGAAATGAAAGTAAATATAAATATGATTAAGTATATATGGATTGGCAAAGTGGACAAAATGAGAGAGTTGTGTTGTGCTGGCTCTTGGAGTTTGGCCCCCGGTGCCATTGAGCCAAGTGAACCATTATCCTCATCAACACAGCTCAAGAAGAACATCAAATTCGACAAATCACCGGGTACCTTGCCTCCTACTTGTATATACTTTAATACTTTTATAATAATAACGTTATTGTTTGTTTTCTTTTCTGCAACTGATATAGATATATAATTTGTTTTTTTTTGTTTATATATAAATATATGTATTTGGAAGTATGTATATGTTGGTTAGTTTGGTAAAAGCCTACAAATGAATACAACTTGAACTTGGGGATAAAGTCAATGACTCAATGAGATAAGTAGCAAGCAATAGCTATAGCATTAGCATGCATCAACTCCGAGATCCTTGTTTGATTCTTTGCTCATTAGTCTTTCTAATCCATCAATATTATGTTAATCTGCGGCATGCATGCCCTAGACACCCTTGATTTAAGTGTTGTTACCGGCTCCTCATACTCCCAAAGATTATATGTCTTCAACTTTATTCGTTTTTAAATATACTTTCTCCCCCCAAAAAAATTGCATGTCTAATTTTTTTTTCTTTCCTTTTTTATTTCTGTACGTGAATGCAAGAACTAGGAGTAATGTGGTTAAGTGTGTGTACGTGTTTGTTTTTGTTTTATGATGGAGAGATTACAACAATTGGTGAGTCTTAAAAAAAAAGAAAAAAAGAGAGGGTTTAGGAGGATAATGAGCCGGTTTTCTCTTGTAATTCCCAAAAAAATTGTTGAATTTGTTGGGTGGTCTAGTTTCTCTAGGAGAGAGTTATGGCGGTTAACGGCCAGGGTTTGTCCTTGATGTAATTGACTTGATCTAAAACAACTTAGACGGTAAATAGGGGTTTTTAGACAAGTTATTCGCGATTTATTCTCTCCATATGGTTTCATTTATAGAGCAGACTTTGGTTACTTGGAAAGCTTTACTCGTGTTTGTTATTGCTAATCGAGATGACTCTCTATGTACTTTTTCAATTGATCTAAAATACTATCACATTTTTTTTGGATGAAAAATACTATCGCTTGTTTGGTAAAAAGGAAAGAACAAGATAATGGGATTAGAACATGTCAAAATTAAAAGGGACAAAACAACAAATTCATTGTGCCAAGAATGAATTGAAGTTCCAAATTTATCGCAGGGATGACCCTAAATGTTGAGAAAACATAAATTAAGGGGGAAGAAAACCACGCGCCCATATCATGTTTGGGTATTTAATCCCAAAAAAGGTAAATAAAATAATAACAGAACAAGATCTATTGTGAAAAGAAGGGCCACCTCCAGAGCTCCACACGACTTCGAAGCAGATAGCTATGGCTTTATTATTGTGTCGGTATTAATGTGCGTGTGTGTTTCTCTGCTGTTTGCTCAGAATTTCATGGCCGTGACCCATAATTTAAACCCTTCTCTGCCATCTCTTATATTATAAAACTAATCATAATTAATTAATATAAATCTTCATTTAGAAACTATCACAAGCTTCTCTTTGAAGCAAGAGACGTTGGTCTCTCTATCTCTCTCTCTCTCTCTCTCTCACACACACACACACACACGTGTAATGTAATCTTCATTTTCTAGAGCCCGACAGTTTAAAGCAATAAAGAAAGAAAACAATCCCGTTATATTTACTTTCACCTTTGGAATTGGAACGACAGTGTTCAAGAAACATATGAAGAAAGATCACTTCTTCCTTCCTACGACTTGTAGTTCAAAGTTCAAACAGCAGAGGTAGCTAGCTAGCATCATATTCGCGTGCCTGCAAACTTATATTAAGATTTGCAGTCCCAGTCAGATAAAGTTAATCATCTTTTGTGCCAATGCCAAACCTGCATTTAATTATACAGTTTATATTGAAAAGAACAAAAAACAGTTGAAAATGATAAAAATCTGGTGATCAGTGTAAAGACGTGCGGCATCGTGTGCAAAGAGTTTGGGAGAAGAACACCTGGACTGGACTGGACTGCCATTTGTTTCTGCAGCCTAAGCCAAGGTACCTAGTATCTTTTACCATCTGAAACATCAATAGAAACTTTTAATTTGAAAATTTATTAAAATAAAAACGTTGTAAGTTGTAAGTACGTATCGTTCATCTCATTGTTTATGCATATTTGAACTTGATATTATAATATTAATTTAGTACAATATCCCTGCAGCGTAGAAAAGGTTTTGGGAAGACCTTCTTCATCAGAGATACAATGGCTATGGGCCATGTATGGAGATTTTGTCTGGAGACTCGACGACAGTGAGTGACCGGCTCAGGCAGTGGGCCCGTCAACTGACACTGATATACTGTTCACGAACCGGTGACCGGCGGCGTTTGCGCTTTGACGGTGACCATGGGAACTGCCACGTGTGCTTCCCCATGTGGGGTGATGTGGCCTCACTTGGATTTGCAACTTAAATATTATTTACGTGCAACATAATAATATACATATATGTAGAAGAACATGAAGTTAATTTGTAGAAGAGGATTGCACTTTTGGGCAATGGGTTTATAATTCTTCTCTGACATTGAGGGAAATGAGGAGCTTGCTTGTTAGATGAATGCATTATGCAATTGTCTTGTGCCTCAAAGCAGGGGGATTTGGGGTAAGCTAGTTAGTAAATGGGTTTGGTTAGAAATTAGAATAAAGGGTTTTCAATTTCCAGCAAATAAACAAAAAGAATTTAACAAAGCTATGTGGAAACTCGATTGGAGTGGAGTGCATGTGAGCCTTTCGTCTTGTACGATTAACTTCTCTTTTCAGTGAATATTAAGTACGCAATTAGGCAATGATTAGTGGTTAATAATGATCTGAACCATCATTATTAAAGAGTGATTTGGAATTTGGATTATTGATGGACATGTTCCTCCTTTGCTTTGCTGCGGCAAACAGCAAACAGCAAACAGGAAACAGCAGCTTCAATACGACACGCACCTAATATCCACCAAAAAGTCCTTAGTGGAAGTCAATGTCATGGTCTTTCTCATCAGCATTCAGCAGCCTGCCTTCAGCCTTGTCTGTCTTCAAGTCTTCAAGTCCAAGTACATGAAATGAATTAAGATTAGGTAAATAAATCAATCTAAAAATAATGAACCAGATTTTCAGGGACCATGCTCACCCCACTCGTGGGCACGACCCTTTTGCCGGATTTTATTTTAATCCTCAGTTTAAGTTAGGCTTTCAACTCAGATCCTTTGCATTCATAGAGATTCGACACGTGTAATTTCATATTAAACATATATTGTGATATTATATGCAACATGGGTCACCATGTCCTTTTGATTTTTATGTTACAAAGCTTATTTTATTATATGACACCTAAAGGCTAAAGCTCAATGGCCATATATATATTTTTTGTTTTTATGGGGATGTTGAACGTATTAAATTGCTTTTGGCATTCCCAGGCATTCTTGTTCTTCATTTGTGACTTTCTGGCCTTCTTCATATCTTTTGGGTGGTGTGGTCTAATTTCCATATTTTTAATTATGAGTTGATTACAAACAAATCTTTTTCACTATTACCAAAATTAAGATCCAACGACAGAGTAAACGACTGATGTATTATTAAAATTAGATTCAGTTAACGGGGTCTAGCCTAGTTTTCAAATGATATTGATTTGCAGACAAAAGTCTCCAGTTTGAATTTCTACAACATCATAATTATATATATGTAAGAAATTACATTCCTTTATAGTTTAGACTATCAATTATACTAATTAAATTTTTACCAATAATAAATAATCTTATAGTAGCTCCCGGGCACATTGATAGAGAATCAATCAAGATTGATCTAAGGTTTCTTCCGAGGCTGTGATCTTGTGACCGTTGAAGAGTCGAGTAGGCAAATTGGTAGATGTGTTATTAATGCTATGCCGATAAGTTTGACTTTTACCCACCGACATGGCTACTTTAATCTTTGAGTGGGGAGGACGTGGGGATTTTCCTCTGTTGTTTTTTGTATATACTTTTCGAAATTACAATTAACTGTTTTAGAATGCTTTATTACTTTTGCAAACTCAAATAACTCATACAAAGGCATCAAGGTCTCAACTCAAGGATGTAATAAAACAGGTTGGTCCAGCCTTACCTAAAGCTGAGATTTTAGATTTTAGTTTGGGCTTTGCTCTAGCCTAAAGGGCTCTTAAGAGATTAGGATCAAGTTAGGCTGAAGAGAGCTGGAAAGGCCCGATGTGCAGGCAAGCTCAACTTACATTTTTCTTTAATTCTATTATGGCCATTAGTAAATATGAGAGCCGGGCCTGTTTGAATCCATCGACACACCCACTTCACCATAGCCCCCTCATTGGAGCAGCTCCCGGATTGCATGATCTTGGGGTCATTTGAAGAAAGAAAGTAGAAACTACTAGGCAAACAGTTGAGGGGATGAAGTAATTGATTAATCACCGCAAGCGGACAAGAAAAGTAAGACTTGTTTCTGAAGCATGGATATACAGAGTCTTCATTATTACATTATTTTGTGATGCCATCAGTTTTCTATTAAGCGAAAATTTTGATATGCTTATAAATTTGCCAAAACAAGTTATTATAGAATCTAAGACCACCCTCTGGGTGTCTGGCCTCGCTCACGGTGAAGTTTATTTTTTTCTTCATTTATCGTTCACAAAAGAAAGCGAGGACTTTTCTAAATGTACAGAGATACTGCTAATCATTCCCGACAAATATGGCTAATTTAGATTCAAGGATGACCAGAATTGTAGTCATTTCAATGCGAAGGTTCTTGATCCTGATGGTGAAGTTTCGTCAGCTCAAACTTCCAACGAACAATAAGAACGAAACAATAGTGGGTAGGCTATTCATTGTTCAAAAGATCACCATTATGATTATCCATACAAACAATAGGAAAGCAACATGTGTTGACTTTTCTTTTTTTAATACGGGGGACATGTTATGGAACTCTTCTTTAGTCCATTTTAGGATTAAAGAGACATCCCTCATACACAACTAAAACCAGGGGAAAGAAGATATAAGGGCCTTCCTATCGCACATACCACACCTCATTTTAGCCCATGGCATATTTCTGGGTCCAGCTCCTTGCTGTTGTCTCGTATTTATTCCTGTCTGTCTTGTACATGTGGGCAATCTCCGGCACCAATGGATCATCAGGATTCGGATCCGTCAACAAAGAACAGATGGAAAGCAAAACCTGATAAAGAAAATGAACACTACGATAACTTAAAATATAAACAGACCAGTTCGAGTGAGAACCATTTCTAATGAACACCCTAAAAGAAATCTATATCAAAGCTGACTACATTTCATTTGTGAGGAAATGTATTTGCAAGGAATGACTCTTATAGCAGTTTAAAATCAACAGGCTCTGCGTGCAGTGATAAGTCACAGCCACTTTTCCAGAATGATAACATCACAATTGTCACTCCTCTAACTTCTAAAATATAGACTTCTCAAATTTTCTATATAGGAGCTTGGCTATTAGAGCAAACCTTGGAAATAGTTAGAGCAGGACTCCACTGCTCCTTCAAGATGTCAAGGCAAATGCTCCCATTGCTGTTTATGTTTGGGTGGAATACTTTCGTTCTAAATGCCACCTACAAAAACCATCAATTTATCAGCAAGGGAGAAAACGAGAGAACGAGAATTAAATTATCAGAAAAACGACACAAAGTATTGAATGATGACACAGAGAATGCAACGGTATTTCTGCTATATGCAGGAAAAACGTCCACAACAGCCTTCTTATTGTACTTTATAGAAGTATACAACCCCAAATACTCTCCGTCTTCTGGAAAGTACGAGTCCTGCATAGTTTCTTGCAGTGCAATAACTGAAAATGTGACAGGCAATGATAATGTTTGTCCCAAGTAAAAGTGCTGGTGGTGGTTGAGGAGGTGGTAGTGGTAGAAGAAGAAAACTTACTTAATTACTAAAAAAAATTCAAAATATCGGTATTCAAGGTAGTAGGTCCGCCGAGTATGGAAGAAAGAAGAAGATGAGTCTGACAAACTTGGTATCTTACCATAAGGAGATCAATTAAAGTTCAAACCCCAGTCAAACTTCATCACATCATCGGTAAAAGTATTCAAGGAGAGAAAACGAATTGTGTGGACCACTGAAGTTCAGAGATAAAGAAACAAACTTCATTCTTAAAATTGGATAGTTAGTACCTTCGGTGGCTTAAAGGGATAATCTGGAGGAAAATGAATAGTAACTAGGAAAACACCCCCAGCATAAGGACTGTCTGGGGGACCCATTATTGTTGCCTGCCAGTGGAACATGTCTTCGGCAACGGGACCTGCAACATCCCCAAAGAAAACAAGGCCAGAAATTAATGAAATAATACAAATATTTATGGCAAATGGAGCAGGATTTATACAGATTGCTTTAAAAAAGTCTCAGTTCAAATAACACAAGAAAGCTCTTGAATGAATATCATCTGTCCTCGAAACAACACTATATATGAGTAAAAATGTGAATCTTCTGAGGGCAATCTGCATAACCATAAAACAAACAACAAAGCATAGAAAAATGACATTATATATTTTAGTCACTTCCTATATGCAGTACAAGAAGGGTAATAAATCTTTTGAATGCTTATGGTCATGTAGAGCAAAGTTCAAAATTTAAACCAGTTGGTAGTATGTAAAGCCTCTGACCAGACTGGATAATCCAGCTGCAGACGTCACAATCTGAACATCTGACCAGGTAGCCAAGCTGGACCAATAGAATCCATTACAATTTGGAAAGGGTGAAAATATTATAAATCAATTTTAGCTAGCTAAACATGCTTTTTGACTTGATTGTCCAGATCGGAATGCCAAAACCATGGTTCACGAATGGTGCAAGAGCAATTGCGAGAACATTAGTCAAATGCAAGTTACAACGGTTAAGAGCACATCGATTCGTGTATACTTTGGAGATAATGATGGTTTGCACAATTTTTCATGCCAAGATATGAACACAGGTCTTTAGACACCCAAAGGAAAAACCTTCCAAGTTTCATAGCACCCTCCTTACAGGAAGGAAATTATATGATGAAAAGCACCTAGTGTATAATCATTCTTCACTAATTATGTAAAACATATGGTAGGAACAAACCCAAATTACCCAGAGATATACCCACAATTCTGATCTCAGCACAGGTGACACATCAATGTACAGGATCAAACACGAATTATGAGTGACATGTGGGCTTATACTAATTCTGATCGTAGTTTCGCTTTCCTATGTGAAGTAACTATGCACAAACTGATGAAATAAGTAAAATTACTAATGTTTTGTTGGAAGTCATATTTCAGTTTCCAGTATACGCTTCTTAGCATCTACTACAAAAAATTGACCCAGGAATTTTTCCTTATGAATTTCGCAACATACCAAAATTACAATGTTCAACTATCCCAGATAATTCACTGCAAATCACCAACCATCCATAAAGCACCAACTGATCACACTCAACAGAATCATTTGGAATGGAAAGTGGTAAACTAAAGCTGAAATTTCATGCCAACATCGACACATAGATTCAAAATTTATGAGGCAAACAACCCAGAATTCAAGAAAAAAAACCAAAATTCAGAACGGGAAATGAATTCATAAGCAGGAAAATGTGATTACCGGCGCTGCATGATGTAGGAGGATCCTTCTGCAAATCTTTGAGTTCCTTCAAGATCCGTTTGGAGGCCATTTGCGAAACCCTATTTCCAATATCCAAAATCACCATCTCAGATCAAAAACCAAAACTAAAACCATGCACAACAACAAGCACCTAAAAATAACTTAAATTTCAGCGAAGAGATCGTACCTGATAGGAAGAGTTACAGAGAGAAACGAAGACAGAGATCGTCCTCCTTCCTACGTGAACAATGAATCGAAGAAGAAGATAAAGAAAGAGATGGAAAATGGAAATTGAGAAGGGCGGATTGTGAATATGTTTTGATGAAATGGAACGACTTTTATAAAAACCGCTCTGTAATCGACCTGTTGCTGCTGATTGGCTTAAATTCTATTCCCTCTGTCTGGGTCCCACTTGGCGTTCCCTTTACGAAAATCTTTCTCTTTCTTCTTTTCTTTTACCTTTTTTTTCCGGTTGGTTTTTGTTTTTGTTTTTGTTTTTTGGCGCCGAAAGTCACCGCGGAATCGAATATAGCTTTTGCGTCAAGGTGATTTCATTTGGGACACCAAACCGACGTCGTTTCCCGCTCCCCCGAGGCGCGTTCAACGACTTGGTCCTTTCTGTTGGCTGCTGCCATTGGTTAAAAGTTACAACGCCGGCGGTCAACCACACGGTCGGAGACCGACGATTGAGTGGGCCCAATATCCAATGTGCGTGATTAAATAAATAAATATATTTATAAATTTCATCTCAAGTAAATTATATAGATGGATCATTAAATAAAAAAAGAAGAAAAAGTAAATCATATAATAATTCAAATAATAAATCTATTTAATTTTCTTAAATTTAAGTCAGGATTTTATTCTGTTTGATGACAGTTGTCCTACACGTTATATACTGTGATCCACCAGCTAGAAAGTAGACGGTGATTACGAGGGGAAATCCTAGCCCACTTGCTGTTATCTGATGGACGGTCGATATGCATCTAGGTCCCGCAGTGCCGACGTCTCAGATCACCTACAGTCCCTAAGCTGATCGCAGAAGAGCACACGCTTCCCATGGGACCCAATGATCGACGTTTCTAACGTGCGCCGTTGCGTAGATTGGATGATTAGTAGGAGATTCGAGAATCCAACTCACCGATTACAACCCCCCTGCCGCACATGGTGCGCAGCGCACACCCGGGGCAAGTTAGCATCCATCACCCGCACGCCACCTCACTCCTCGTCGCTCATTGTCTCTGAGTCGCCGTAACGACGCCTGAAAATGCAGCGGTTGAAGGTTCCGAAGCGGGTCCAGGTGGACGAATCCCCGACAGAGATTCCCAAATATGATGTGGCGGAAGATGAAGAGGGGAACCCCTCGGAAGCCCTAGGCCACCAAAACGACGACGGAGAAGATAATGGCGGAATTAGAAATAGCAACGTCACTGAAGATCAGGAGCCCTTCATGGGGGTCAAGGTCCGAAGAAAAGCTTCGTTTCGCAGAGAATACAAAGGAGACTACATCGACGTCCGTTCCAATCCGTACTTGATGAAAATCTTGCAGAAACAAGGTCTCGCCTTTTATGATGTTTTCAATTTTGCTATCTGTTCGGTAAATCAAACATCAATTTTTCATTTTGCCTTCTTTTTTGGTATTGAATTGGAAGTTTTGGTTCAGAAGATAGATGTTTGGTTGTGTAAAGATAATGTAGCATTGGTAATCATTTGCGTATCATTCTTATTTGAGAACCAGTTAATGGAGTGGAAAGTAAGAGAATTTAAGCATTTTCTTGTGTCTAATGGAGTTACTTGATTGAATTCCATTGCATTGAATTTTTCAGGTGACAAGGAGGTTCTGTTTGCCGATAAAGTTTTGAAGTTTACTGCTTCTGGGAAGATGAAGCGGCGCATTTTGATGATCACTGACTTTGCCATCTACATTGTTGACCCAGAGGCCGATGCACTGAAACGGAGGATAGCCCTTGCAGCTGTAGAGAGGATGTGCTTGAGTGAACTAAGTGATAACTTTTTCGCAATTATCATTCCGACTGAGTATGATGTACTCATGGCTAGTACTCGCAAGACTGAAATCGTTACTGTCTTAGTTGAAGCTACTAAGAGTGCTTCTGATTACGAACTTGAAGTTTGTTTCTCTAACAGGTAATGCAAATTTGTGCTTCTTATTATGTGTTTTCATGGCTTCTCTTGTTTACTCTTTAGTATACCAAATCCACCTCCCCACTTTCCTGTTAGACGGCTAATTAGGAATCTCAGATTGATTGCATATGCGTTGGTTATTATCAGCAATGTTCATTTGTAGCTTATATATGCATGCATCAATAGGTAGCCACATTGGGTATCTTGGAAAAGTTTATGCAGAAAAAAATTTTGTTTTTATTTTCTGTTGGACTATTCTTCTTGATATCTGTCACACCTACGAGTCTACGACCATTGGGATAGAGTCAATAGATTCATTTCTGAGTGCAGCATATAACCCCATTGCTACCACTTGTTAGATGCTGTGAGATGGGAATATGAGCTTTACTTTTTGAGAAGGGGATATGTAGGATATTGCATATGTGGTTTCTATGTAAGTTAGCTTTATTCTGGAAAAATAAAGTGAAAGGTGTTGCTTGTTTGGATGGATGTTCGTTCTTAGAATCTTCATGATATAAGATAGTAGCTTCAGTGTAATGGTTGAAAGCATCCTTCTTACGAGAGTTTACTTTTCCTTTTCGGTTCTTTTTCCAGTGGACGACAATTACTTTTGTTTTAATGTTGTGGACTACATTAGCGTTGTAGCCGTATATGCGAAATCTCTTTCTATTGCAATATTTTTACCCTTTGAGTTACATTGAAATTGTTCTTTCGTATGTTTTACCCTTTTTGCAGTTTTGAGTATAATGCAACTGCAGAATTCGTGAAGGAGGTTCAATTTGAGGAAGTTGAAGGTCTGGTACCTTTTTGTTCTAGGATTTTACCAATTCCAAATTATTTGCCCAACTATTTGCTATTAACTCTGGTAAATGATTTCACTGGATTATGGGACCCTGAATCCTTTCTGTTTATATGAATTTCAGGGGGTGTTAAAACAAGAATTTTGAAGAAGTGATTGCAGATTATACGTCCCATCGAATGTTTCTTAGAATGTGCAGGGATCAGCTCTGTTCATTGTAAAGATGAATGATTCTTTATCTATTGCATGCTAAGTTTCTGCTCAGCATCATGCCCGACCCCATAGGGAAAATGTTGTCTTTATTCTCATTTCAGTGTGATTCTTATACTAAAAAAGATACGTGTATTTTTCAGACCTCTCCTCACCAGTTTAATCTGGATGTATGAAATCATTGATAAGCCAATGCCATTGTATGTAGATTTCAAAATCGATCTATAATTGTTTGCAATTGCAGACATTGCCTTTTGTACAGGTCTCGTATTTCTTTTGCAATTGCAGACATTACCCATTGATCAGTGATTCTGCGTGTTGGAAAATTTGTAAGGCCCCTATGCGTGATTCTACTGGAAAAACTTGATTTGCCAAGAAAAGAATTCCAAAAGGAAGATTAATTAGATAGGTTTAAGAAGATGACAAGAAAGCAGGTTATGTTTATCCATCAATTAGATAGGTTCAAGAACATCAATATGCTATACGATATGGAACCACAACCTATAATTCTTCATATGCTCTCCCTCCATTTTCAAGCAGAGACAGTGATTGGTTTTACTAAATGAGCAAAGACCCTTAAACTGAATATCACGTTCATCACAACCAAGCCCAGACAAATTGTACAATAGTCAAAGAACCAACTGCAACAGGTAGTTCAACTAATTTCAGCACTAGCTGTCATAGATCCGAACGAATTTCAATTGAATTGAAAGATAAAAATAAATTTATATTATAATAACTAACAACTTGACTATGTAGAATGAATTTCACTGTGGTTGAGAGGAGGATCCTATCTCGGCTGTAGGAGGTGGAGGTGTTAGGACTGGAGTAGATATTCCTGATGACGATGGCGGATTTCCAGTGTTGACTTGACGAATTTCCTCCACCCTTTTCACCACATCCGGCATGCTTGGTCGTTGCTCCGGCATTCTAGCCACGCAAGACATTCCTATTTGCAACATCTCTACCATTTCCTCCTCTATGTTTGGATACCTCAAGAGCTCTACATCAAACACTTCTGCTGTCCATTCCTCCCTGACCACAGAGTTCACCCACCTTACCAAGTGGATAACTTCTTCACCACCTGTTGTGTGTATGGGGCTTTTTCCAGTGAGGAGCTCAAGTATCAGGACCCCGAAACTGTAGACATCGGATGCATGGGAAGACTTTCGAGTGTCTGTCACTTCTGGGGATCTGTATCCTCCAGCACGAGCTGCGGGCGGGGGCATTGGGCTCATCAGTGTTGCCAAACCAATGTCACACACACAACCATATCCTTGAGAGTTGAGGAAAATGTTTGAGGCCTTTATGTTTCCATGGACAAGTCTTCCACCATTCTGTGTGTGGATATGAGCAATGCCTCTGGCTGCACCAATTGCTATTCTTAGTCGAGTCTCCCAGTCTAGTGGCGTCCTGCCCTCTCCTCTTTTAGCTGCAAGATTAAAGAAGCATAAACACCATTATAAACACTGAACATAACTAAAAATCATCTGATGCAAATGAGTCAAAAAGAACAAAAAATGTAAGAGGAGTGCGTTTGTTATACCGTGTAACAATGAAGAGGCACTCCCCTGCTCATAATAATCGTACACAACAAGCTTCTCATCCTTGGAATAGTAATATGCCCTTAGAGCAGCTATATTCTCATGCTTGATACTTCCTACAATCTCCATTTGCTGCTCAAATTCCTTCTTTCCAACACTCACTTCCTTCAACCTCTTCACCACGACAGTAGTTGCATCTTCCAAAGCAGCCTTGTATGTTGTCCCAAATGTTCCTTTACCAAGCACCTCAGCAGATGCCCTCAGCAAGTCCTCCAGATCGAATGCAAGATTAGAACCCTCAAAGAAGGAAAGCCTATTATTCTTGTCATGTTTCTCAGAAACTCCTTTATTTGAAAAGATTTCTTTCTTCTTCTGTGGTTTTTCAACTGGCCCATTTTCACCTTCTTTATTGGTGCAGCAAATAATCATCACAATAGCAATTACAACAAACCCCAGAACACATCCACCAATCACAATACCTAGTATTGCAGGTTCACCAAGGTTTGTTTTTTTTCTTGGTTGAGCATTAGGTGGTTGAACTGGAAGAGCTGGAGGAAGGGCCCATTGTGATGAAAGACCGTTACCTGAAAAGGCCCAACCTGGAAATCTTTGGAGAGACTGAGGCACATTCCCTGTGAGATTATTGTTAGCTAAATCAAGCTGTTGCAAACTAGGAAGATTGAGATCAGGAATTTCACCCGAAAGCGAATTGTTGGCAAGATTCAGAACTGTGAGGTGAGTCAAACTTGAAATTGAGGAAGGGATTTTCCCACTAAATGCATTGTTTGAGAGATTCATGACAGTAAGATTCTTCCAAGGTGAAAAATCTAAAGGCAATGGGCCGGAGAAGTTGTTGAATTGAAGATAAAGGGAGGTTAAGTTTTCAAGTTTAGAAAAATCAGAAGGGAATGGACCTGTTAAACTATTCAACCTGAGACTGAGAACCTGAAGGGCAGATAGGCGGCTGAGAGTGTTGGCTGGGATTGGACCATGTAAAGCAGCTCCAGGCAAATGGAGCTCTATTATTCTGGACTGGTCTTCGCTACAAATCACTCCAGTCCAGTTTTTGCAGACAGAAGAGTTATCATTCCATTTGATAGAGTTTGAGTGAGAAATATTGTGAAGGAAATCTAGCAAAGCTTGCTTATCTTCAACTGGGTCCGCAGTGGCATGCAAGAAAATGGTTCCAATCAACAAAACGAACAAAAGCTCTACTTTCGTGTCCATCTTCTCCTGCAGGCAAAGCACAGACTGATTTCTTGATCCCAACTACACATGAATTTGGATAAATGAAATTCAAAAACTTATCATGAGAAACATTATAAACTGTGTATGAGCTGTGGTCATAGTATTAGTAGGCAGAGCAGCCTAATTTCTGAAAGTACTGCTAATAAGGTTGACTTCACTAAATGCTTTAAATTTGAAGATCCAGTCAATAAAAGCAGCTGTTAAGTTTGAATTAGGAGAAAGAGAAGTGTATACTTTCCTTGTTTCACCAACTCTGTTAGGTTGCCAAGAAAATCTCTCACAAATTGTACTTTCTTTAATTCCCATCACTTTCACATAAACCCAACAATGTTCGACCTAGCATATACAGAGAAACCATACACAGCTATAATCAAAAGACAAATTAAAAAAAAACTTACTTGTGGCTTCAGATCACACCATAGGCATCCCAAAAATCAACCAACAATCAGCCTATCGTGATAACTTCCCCTTGCTGCTTCCTGCAACTAAAGTTTTTAGTATTGGGTCATTTCATTTGGGCACACAACATTGATTGCTGTTGTGGTTTCAGAGACAGAGAGTCACAGAGGTAAATGGGCAAATGGGTAACCTGCAATGATGGTGGTGATGATGGAGATGAGCTGGGCTTGCTTGCCGAAGCAGCATGGCCACATGCAGAGAAGTTAGGAAGCCATAAATAAGATAATCATTATTGATGGGAAGAAAGCCAATGGAGAAAGCTTGTTGCTTTATTTTTTAGCGCATGAACAGGAGGGTGCATGTGGATTTGGAGAAGACCAAGAGATCAGGCGTTAAGGAAAGTCAAGAAGAAGCTCAAAAATGTTAAACAATTATATATTTTTTTGGGTATAACGCTGGTGCAGTTGTTGAGCTCGAGAATTTGTTTTCTTCATCTTTTTTTCTAGTGAGAGGAAGCTTTTTTTTTTTTTTTTTTTTTTTTTTTTTTTGTGCTTTTTTTTTTATTCGTACTACTACCAAAGGAAAATTGTTCCTTACCTTTTTTTAATTTGAAAATTTGGCCATATTTCTGTCACTATTCTGTGAGGTAATGATGCGCAGATAGACAAGAACTCAAGTAAAACGAATATGATATTAGATAGTCAAAATGCTTCTCAAACCTAATCCCAAAATCATGATTTGACTTTTATTATTATTTTAGTGAGAGATTTGCCAAATAAGAACCCAACAAAGCAAGAAATCTAATGAAATTTAACAACTATCAAAGTTCCGGACATGTTAAAAAAGTTTGTGTAAGTTATTTCTCTTAAAGAAATTTGAAAGGAATTACTCGAAGCTCAAAACAGGCTTGAGAAGGCTTGAATGATACTCAAAAGAATCTCGAGTGATTGAGCGGTTTTCAACTACTCGAGACCCTTTTCAAAATATTCCAATGAATGTACGCACTTCCTTTTGTGTTGTCATTCTCGTAAATTCACATAATCTCAATTTGGTATTATCGGTGTGATTTTCAAGTTAGAGTAATTATCTTTGACTTCCTATCAAATTGTTAATGCCCCTAATCAATGGTTCTAATCTTTGCACCAGTCACCTAACCTCCATTGGATACTTCACAACCGCCGAAAGTGGCGCGACAATTACTCTTAGGCCGACCGAAGTACCAATCAAAGGTGGCCCTTCGCAAGATGCTGCCACGTAGGTTGTTGGGGGGGAAAAGAACGACCAATGTGGGACTTTGAGATGTAGAGTGCACGAGTGTACCGAGACCCATCGGAACTATTCATATCTTTTTACTAGAGCTGCGTAGTGGTCAATAATTAGTAATTTGGCATCCAAAGGTTACAATCAATGGGCTTACCTGCTGGCTGCTATTACTATATTTTTTATTTTTACTTTCAAAATCCTGCCTAACTCGAAGAAATTGGTTTTGCTTGTTATATGTCAATTTATTGGATTTTTTTTTTTTTTTTTTTTTTTTTTTTTTTTTTTTTTATTGGATGTTATATTACATTAAATCAGTCATCGAGGCATCTAATGTTATAGGAAAAAAACCTATTCGCAATAAATAATAAATTAATAATGGTGCTAATAATTTGTTTGGATAATTTCATATGATGAAAACGAAAAAAAGAAGAAGATCGGATCGTGTAATCATGTGATTGGCTGGAAGCAATGATTTTATTTTGTCTTTCTTTTCTCTTCGGGTGCTGAACTCGGAGCATAAGCTGACCGCGATATATCGCCAAAGAAACCCAAAAAGGTAACAAACAAAAATGAAAATGAAAAGTCGGAAAAACAAAAAGAACGAGAAAAGAGAGGAAGACCGGAACACACTCCGAGTGATACAAAAAAAGAACCATACGCCTCCAAAATATCGCGATAAATGAAAAACCCTAAAAAATCTGCCGCCTCCGTTTTTCTCTCCGTCGAGAAGGACCAATCTCTTTCTCTCTGTAAGTTCCTTAAATGTCTCGCTATTTCTCTTTTCAATTGCTTCCTGCATTTCAACTATTTTCAAATATTTGTTTTTCTTTTCTATTTGTCGTTGAGGAATTGAATTTTAGATTTGGAGTTTGGAATCTTAGATGTGGAACTTTGAATTCCTTTGTCTGGTCACTGAGATGTGGGGGTGAACACAGAAGCTCTGGTATTTTACAGTGCTTTCCCTTCGCCGGAGGCATCTTCTTCCCGAAAATTTTTCGCCGGAAAATAGTTTCATTTTCTTTTGAGCTTGTTGGGTTCCAATTTATACATTAGATGTTGAATTTCGAAAGCCAATTTGGAAGTATGCACATTTATATAGTGGCTGATGATACTAATCATAAGATTAATTCTAACCAATTTAGTAAAAAATGTAAAATGCGAGGGCTGTAAGCTGGAAAGAGAAATGAGAACCACATGAAATCTAAATGAATGAAATAATGAGAATTTGGATAAGTCTGCAGACTTTGTGGGAGTTAATATCAGGGGTTTTTGGTTTGAAGGGATTAAAGGTTACAAATTTCTGTGTTGGAAGGAAGAACAATTGAACCCAAACTTGTAAGAAACTTGTAAGGATTCTTGTTATATGTTAAATTGCATCCACAAAGTTTTCTTTTTTTTTGACCTTTATGAAATTTATGTAATTGAACAGGCGCAGAGACGTGAAAATCAGCTACTCACTGCTGAGTTTTACTTTGCTCCCTCTGTAGGTTGACATACAGCGCCGAAGAGAGGAGAAGAAGTAAGTTCAGCATTATGGTTTCACTTTTCTTTTCTTTTCATGGATTCTATTCATATCATCAACAAGCCCATGATTGAGTACAATGCTAACCCACTTGCATTTTCATTTGTTAAATTTACTGTGTCCTTGCATTATTGCATTCAGTTATTTCTCTCAGAATGGCTTCTGCTGCAATGTACATATTTTGAGATGAATTCAAATCTTGATATTACTTTTCAAAGTGAATCAACCTTACATAATAAGTTTGTTTTGATAGAAGATCATGTAGAAACTACTGCCGTATAAATGAAATAGTTTTGTGCTTACCTTGTAGCAGTGGTTCGAGAAAAAGATGTTTGTTGGGAATATGCTGAAAAATTAGATGGAAACAAGGTGAGATGCAAATTTTGTCAGAGAGTTCTGAATGGTGGCATTAGTAGATTGAAGCATCATCTATCTCGACTTCCAAGTAAGGGTGTAAATCCATGTAGCAAAGTGAGAGATGATGTTACTGATAGAGTGAGGACCATAATAGCATCAAAGGAGGAGGTCAAAGAAACTTCTAGTGGTAAAAAGCAAAAGTTAGTAGAAGTCAAATCTCCTGGAAATGTCTCTGCTAGTAAAGCTCTCATGTCTTTCGATACACCGACTCCAATTCAGAAAGTTTTTCCTAATGTCAGTCCAATGGTTCCTCCCCCCTTGAATAACCAGGAGAATGCAGAGAGAAATATTGCTCTGTTATTTTTTGAAAACAAGCTTGACTTCAGTATAGCTCGTTCTTCATCCTATCAGCTAATGATTGATGCCATAGCAAAGTGTGGTCCTGGATTTATAGGTCCATCTGCAGAAACTCTGAAGACTACATGGCTGGAAAGGATCAAGTCTGAAATGAGCCTACAGTCGAAAGATATTGAAAAAGAGTGGACTACCACAGGTTGTACCATCATTGCCGATACATGGACCGACAACAAATCGAGAGCTTTGATTAACTTTTTGGTTTCATCACCATCACGGACCTTTTTTCATAAGTCCGTGGATGCATCTGCATATTTCAAGAACACAAAATGCCTTGCTGATTTATTTGATTCTGTCATACAAGATTTTGGCCCAGAAAATGTTGTGCAGATCATCATGGATAGTAGTTTCAACTATACCGGGGTTGCGAACCATATTTTGCAGAATTATGCAACCATTTTCGTGTCTCCTTGTGCATCTCAGTGTTTAAATCTTATTTTAGAGGAATTCTCAAAGGTGGATTGGGTGAACAGATGTATCTTACAAGCACAAACCATTTCAAAGTTCATATACAACAATGCCTCGATGCTTGATCTGATGAAAAAGTTCACTGGGGGGCAGGAACTCATTAGAACTGGCATCACTAAGTCTGTTTCGAACTTCCTTTCCTTGCAATCTCTGTTGAAGCAACGGTCAAGGTTGAAGCACATGTTCAACAGCCCCGAGTACTGCACTAACTCCTCTTATGCAAATAAAACACAGAGCATTTCATGTATTTCCATTGTGGAGGACAATGATTTCTGGAGGGCAGTGGAAGAAAGTGTGGCCATCTCTGAGCCATTTCTCAAAGTGTTGAGGGAAGTATCTGGAGGGAAACCTTCTGTGGGTTTTATATATGAGCTAATGACCAGGGCTAAGGAATCAATAAGGACATACTATATAATGGATGAGAACAAGTGCAAGACATTCTTAGATATAGTAGATAGAAAGTGGCGGGATCAACTCCATTCACCTCTACATGCAGCCGCAGCATTTTTGAACCCTGGCATCCAATATAATCCAGAAATAAAATTTCTTACATCTATAAAGGAGGACTTTTTTAAAGTTCTGGAGAAGCTACTCCCCATGCCTGAAATGAGACGCGACATTACTAGTCAAATATTCACATTTACAAAGGCAACTGGGATGTTTGGTTGTAGCCTAGCAATGGAAGCAAGAGATGTAGTTTCACCTGGTAAGTATACAGCTCAAAATTTTTCTGTATGTGCACATGTATAGACACATACGAGAATCATATTGCATCACACATCTGTAATCTGCATCTGGCAGTCCTTGTATAGACACATCATACATATGAGAATCATGTTGCATCCTCTAAATCTACCTCCACTGCAACCAGAAGTTGGATTTTCGACTGCCTTAAGTTGTTCAACTAGTGTTCATTCATGCTTTGCATACGAGAGAACGGTGTTTCCTTATGTTTGTTTGCCCTATTTATTTCTTGGATCTGAAAACTTGTAACTCAATGTAGGGCTTTGGTGGGAACAATATGGCGATTCAGCACCTGTTTTGCAACGAGTTGCCATCAGAATACTCAGCCAAGTTTGCAGCAGTTTCACCTTCGAGAGGCATTGGAGTGCATTCCAGCAAATTCATTCGGAGAAGCGCAACAAGATTGATAGAGAAACACTGAACGACCTTGTCTACATAAATTACAATCTCAAGTTAGCAAGACAGACAAGAACCAAGACTTTAGAAGCTGATCCTATTCAATTCGATGATATTGACATGACTTCGGAATGGGTAGAGGAGAGTGATAATCAGAGCCCAACGCAATGGCTTGACCGTTTTGGTTCTGCTCTGGATGGGAGTGACTTGAATACAAGACAGTTTAACGCTGCCATATTTGGTTCAAATGACCACATCTTTGGTTTATGACTATGAAAGTCCTCAAACACCAAATCCTGTGTCTTTATAGTGATCAGTGTCCTTTCTTGATGTTGTGATTGCCTTGTATCTAATCCTTGACATGCACTTTTGTAACTTTGTAGATTGAATAGTTGTAGACTTGTAGTATAGTCTCTAGTTGTAGACTTTTTCTTTTTCTTTCATCATGAAGATAAATATTGCAATAAGTTAAAAGACGAATTTTGTATCGATATTGTCAATAGTGTATCCGTATGCAGGTGTGAAATTATGTTATTTTTCATGTTTTTTCTTGTACTGATTTTTGAAACGACGTGTCGTTGGAAACATTGATTGCTTCAAGTGAAATCCGAATGGAAATGTCGTTGGTAGCCCCCGCGTAATAAAACGCGCAAGCAGAGCTTTCTTCTTTTTCTTCTCAAACAAGAACTTCACTTTCTCTCTCCTCTGTTAATTGAATCTGTGATATCTTGGCGATAATGGACTACGATTTCAGGACCAGGTCGGGTTCACCATACGACTCTCATGTCTACCGTCCTGCTACGTCATCAGCGCCGTCTAGTCATCCGATGTACGGACCTCCATCGTCGTCGTCTATGTACCCTCGGGTGGGTCAACAGGGGCAAACGGCGGCTCCTCCTCCGTACGCTCACTCAGTCCGTCCCCTTCCCCACCACCAAACCACAACTCCTTCCTCTTCTTCTTCTTGTAAGTTGTAAGCCAACCCATGATCCAGTTTTCCCCAAACTGATCGAAATGTTTGCTTAGGTTTTTTTTTAATTGTGGCATCTTATCGTTGCTTTTCTGTTGCTAAAATTTTCAGCCGGATTGGGCATTCGAGTTACTATAAAACCAGAGTATCGGATCACTCCTCCGGTAAGCTTGGCGCTTTAATTGTTGTTTGTCATGTAAAATGTAAAAGATTCAATCTTTCTTTTTAGAAAGTTATATCAATGCATTTCTGCCTCATGTTCATGGTTATTGCTTATTGGGAAAATTTCTGAGCTGCGTTCTGAATGCAATTATGTAGGATTGGGAAATTTCAATCAGTGAACGTTTAAGATCGAACTTTGTGTTTCCAAAAGATATTATCTGATAAAATTGGGTTTGGCCTTGATTGCTCTTTTTCAGCCTAATTTTTCATTTCAAGTTGGAGATATACCCCGCAGCAGTTTCCAATTCGATTTTGAGTTTGAGAGGAAAGTCTTGGCTGAATTAGAAAAGGAAACTCAGAATTGGGCCAAGCTTGGGCTGGAAAACCCTCCCCAAAGGCCTGTGGAATCACCATCTTCATCCGTATGTCATTTTCTCTTTCACATTCGATAGTTCTCTTTTTTTGTAAATGTAGCTGGTGACTTTTACGTTCTTCATCAATTCATTGTGCAAATGAATGCAAATCAAACATGAATTACTTATAGAAGTAGTTTTTCGGTGTGTCAAATCTGTCATTAATATACAAAAAGGCCACTATTACAAAGTTGTTTTTGAATTCTTTATCGTTTCAGTTGAGAATGATGTTTCTTGGCTGGATTTGTTGAAATTACCCTTGTGCATATTATTGTTATTGCAGGGTTCTGTTGCAGATCCCATTGTCAGCAAATACATTGCTTCAGGTCTCAGTCGAGAAGCAGTTCCTATTGCTGTAGCAAATTATGGAGACAATCCTACTAAGGTGCTTTCTTGAGCTCTCTGTCTATAAATATTAAGCTTGATTAACTTTAGCAAGTTCAGAGGGTGCTGGTAGTTATGATCTCAAATTTAGCTGTTAAGTGCAAGAATGTTTTTATTTCTGTCTTCTAGGTTCGAGAATTTGCCAAATCATTCACCCAACTTCGAGAGATGGGATTTGCACCAAACGATGTTGCCGAAGCCCTAATCATGTATGAAAATGACACGGACAAGGCAGTGGCACATTTTCTCAACAGTTCATCATGAGACATTCATAAAACGTTATTCTTGTATTTACCTCTATAATAGTGTGATGCTATCTTTCTTGCGAAAGTTAGGTTTCAGTTTTTTTTGCTTTCCTACACTGATTGTAAAAAAATTATTGTTTTTAGCTTTACATATGGTGGACATTGTAATTTGGTCAGAGCTTTTCATATTATGTTACTTATGTTTGAGTTAAATATCAATAATTGGAAACGCAGCATTTTATATTTGTAAATCGGTCAATTTTCTTGTTAAATTAATGGTAATCATCAAATAAGATTTGAGATTTTCCAATGCTGCCAAGGAACTTGGCCAAAGAGAACAAGAATAGCTTTCGAACTCAACTGAATAAGAATACAACCACCCATCTTTGGTTATCATTCTAGAGATGAGAAACTTTTCCAAAGTTATGTGATATTATTAATCGATAAAAAAGAATCACAAATTTCTATTGCTTTGAATAAAGAATGATAACCCAAGGACAAGAAAAGCATGCTAACGAACGCCCTATATTATTCTTTCCGAATTTGTATAATTGAAATCTATACAGCTCGGTTCTTCTAAGCATGATTTGTCGAAATCCCATCTTCCCCATCTGCAGTGTTCCATTTCATCTGATGGGCAAGACGCCCAGTATCAACTATCAATTTGAGCTAGGATTTTTCCTCTAATCTCTTCCACATCATGCAGGCTGGAAACCTCACTAAGGGATGCGAAAATATCTCTCAGACCTCTCTGCCTCTGGTTGATATTTTCGCACACAACCTCAAAAGCAAATCAAATCAAACGCCCGCACAAATAGCTCCTGAGAGAGCAAAAGTTTATGTTAACAAATCACCTTGGGGAGGTAAAAAATGAATTGTAAGTGGGCTCATAAATTCTGATGTGGTTGTGTGTGCGTGTGTGTGTAAGTCAGAGAGGGAGAGAGAGAGACCTCCCGTCCAAGAAGAGCAGCAAAATTTGGCTTCATCCACATGTTTAACATCAATCCCAATAAACCAAGACCCGACACTGATATCATCATGCGCATAGGTACGGAGTATAGCTCTGCAGAGTCAATTCAACAAAATTCAGTCATTGCTCTGCATAGTGATGGTGCAAATGATGGAACCAGTTCATCAGAAAAGAATACTCACCTATTGATTGAAACAAATTTGGCCAAAGCTTGAGATATGACGTACATCTCCCCTGAAGCGTGGCGGAAATATCTGTTGGATGCAGAAACTTGGTTTTCAGTTTAAAGAGGAAAATATCTGGGGAGCTTGAAATAAGTTGTATGCTGAAATAAGTTGTAGTGACACTTACGATTTTTTATCGCCAAACTTCCACCATTCTGGTTCATACCATTTTTGGCTCCTGAAAAAGACCAGCGAGCACAAATATGAGACGTTAGATGATCTTTCAATTCACATTTACCTCTTATCTTGTTAACACGTTACATATACTCACGGCTCAGAGAAAACTTCGCCCGATTTCATGCATCCCATATAAACACGAGGTTTGTCTAAATGAGTTGCGAGTGTAGCTCCTAGAGCATCTGGCCATAAATGAAAAAAGGATAAGCATACAAATGCAAACTGAAAAATGAGTCCATCTAATAAAATGTTAATACTAACCAATGTTTACATAAACATCATCATTGACTTTGGAGTAAAACTCAGCATTCCATTCTTCAGCAGCATGAGCAAAGAACAGTTTAGCCTTCTTTGGGAACTCTTCAGGTGCCTCTACATGGGTATCCTGCCAACAATGGGAGTGGAAATAATCACAATACTGAAGCTAAAATCTCCATATGCCAAACGCACATGCAAGCATGCATGTACACCAAATTAAAGGAAGTTACTTAATTCAGTGACCAGTAAAACGTACAAGAATAATGAAGTCCTTAGTCTGCCTGTTTTCATTGTCAATGGCTCTGTCCAAACTATCCCCATGATTTGCACTGCAGGACAACATATCATCCGATGAAGGGCTCTAACCAACTATCATCGTATGTTTGGCATGGACCATTACAGAATTAAAGAAATACAATGAAAAGTAAACCTTCTTCCAATTACAAATCGTGCGATTATTCCCTTTTCATTCTCCATTTTTTTCAAGGCAGCACCTGTAAATTAACATGCAAACTTTAAAAAACCTCCAAAACAAAAAATGATAACCTTCAATGCGCTTACTAGAACTAAAACATTGAACAGGAACATTGCACAACATTCCACATGATCTGTTATCATTCAAGAATTTATATACAAGTCCAAATCATGTGTGCCACATTAAAAAGAAAAATAAATTTAACTGTAACAAAAACAGAAAATAGGTGAGCCCAAAGAAAGATTAGTGCATTACCTGTTCCCATCCACGCCTTACGAATTGCATCTCTATTGTTTTTGCGACCAAAGGTTGTAAAAATTCCAATCACCACTAGTGGCCTTCTCTTATAATCAGTTCCATTAATCTCTGTGGAGCGCATTGAAGTAAAACCCTCCTGTCTAGCTACAGCCAACTCCATCTCAAGAGCTGATAATTTCTTATGTTGTTCCCTAGCAACCGAAAGCCCACATCAGAACCATAGATTCATATGTAAACTAAGAATCATAAATCTTCAATTAAACCAGATAACAAATGACTACATCTTACCTGCAGGCTATGATTTTCAATGTATCATCCACTGATATGACAGATCGCCCCTAAAAAAATCACACAAAAAACAGTTTCCAGTGGTAAACTCAATTAGTCCTGAGTAATTCAACTAGCTATACAAGTATACATCTGAGTTCGAACAAGTATAGAAAGGCACTTCATATTGGCCAAATAAGAAAAAATCATCCATCTGGATTGCGGTTGGTGTTAGGCAATAATAGTTCAAACTGGTGTTGCCTCAAGTCAAATGTGAATTTTGACTCAAAAACCAAATTTGCTCACATGCCTGAATCAATTGGGAAACGAGAAAAAGAAAAGAACCGAAATTTCAATCTTAAATACAAAACTAAGACATACCCACCTGCCCAATAATCCTATCAAGTTCTTTGATCAAATAAACCCTGTTCTCCGAATCCTGCCACAGCCTACATCCCAAAATTAATATCAGAAAATCCCCAGATCAAAGAAAAAGGGAGGGAATCATATGGGTCTAATTTTCTGCAAAATCAAATGAGGTGCAAAAGAGAAGAGAAGAGAGAAGAGAGCAAACCGGCCAGCCACATAGATGGAAGCGAAGGTGGCGAACATGGAGACCAAGAGGGTCGGAATCCGGGATCGGAAAACACGAGCACTCGATGCCCTGCTCTGCATTTTGTCTGCCATTGTGATTGATTGTGGTCTCAATCTGTTTCCAATTTGAGTGCGCAACGGCGCAAGGTTGACAATTTTCAGTTGATAGAACAGTAAGCATAGACTATATATTGGCTGTTCTATGAGCTCGGTGAAAACGATGGATTTGGGTTGGCTTACATTGTCCGAAACAGATCTGCAATTTGACCCCAGTCTAGATTTTTAATGTCAGAATAAGAAAAATCATATATTGTGTTTATTTTTCTTCCTTTTTTAGCAGTTCTTCCTTGTTTAGCTGATGGATTCAGACTCTGAGAGTGGTGGGTATGTTGCTTCGGTATGAAGTGAGTGTTGTGGTGGTTGCGGACGATATGACTTTAGTGTTTGGGTTTCAGCGCCACCGCCTAAAGTTGCAACCTTTTCTAATTTCTTTTCCGAATGCATACTTACATTCATTACAATTTACAATCGATAATGAATGTCACATTCAGCCTTCTACTTTATATTTCATTTTATTTTTTGAGATCTTTATTTAATTAAGGATATTTTCGAGAATTTTGAATAATGTTACGAAGCCTTTTACTGATGGACACTTGGATCCGTGATATCGCTCAACCCCAAGGCCCAACATATAGCCTTTTGCTGATTTTCAGAGCAGAGAGAGGTTCTTTTGTTTCAGCCTACATATAGTCCTATCCTGTCTCTTGGGCTCCATGCAAATGCCGGATTTTATAAGGCATCAACCAAGCCCAAGCCGATATGATTATTTTAATTTCTGATTGATCGTTGCCCAGTTTTTTTGTTTTTTTTTCGCAAGAAAGAGACATTACAACCCGAAATCTCTCGGACACACCTACTCAAAGAGGTCCAAAAAGAAAACACGCACTGTGTGTAAAGGGAGTCCGACTTTCCACGTAGGAAAGGGACAACTCGTGACCTAAGTTGTACAAGGCAAGGCATCAACCAAGAAATTTCTTCTCTAAAAACATGTGTAATCTTGATGGAATCGCAAAAGGAGCTCCAGCGCCACGCATCACGAATTAACATGTTGTGGACGCACAGGGTCAATAATGAGCTTAGAGTATCTTTCAAGCAAATTATTTTCCAACCACGGTGAACCGCATGCGGCCAGCCACATGACCATCACTATCTCTTTCTCATCAGCATTGGATCTTGTGCTTTGTTTGGAATATATAGTAGCTAGTGTAGTAGACAGAACATCAGATTCACAATATTATCGAATTTCCATGCTACTTCCTAAATGTTCACGTAACTTCTTCTTTGTCATTTACCCCAACATTTAGGAAGTATAATACATGTTTTTTGTTTGGGTTGTCCATAATTGACTATAATAATGAGTGGATTAGTTAGTCCAACTTATAATTATAATTTGAGGAATATTAGATAAGAGAGATGCGTGTACTGAAATCGTCCATGTGATTCAGCGATGGAACAATGACGATGGTGATGCGTATCTAAAAGTCGGAGACTTTATTTGGTAAGTAAGTCAAATCCAGTATGAACAAAAACAATGAATGCACGTTGGCCACATATATCAATCAAGGACACCTGTACGTTCGTCAATCAATGAAGAATGCCATCTGACAGGTTTTGCTGTTTCTGCAGAAGCATTATTTTGGGCGGTGGAAATAAATACCTCCCCGCCTCCTTCAATTTCCATATTTTCTCAGTTTCTGGCCAGACTTTGGTAGCTCGGGTTCATAACTCAAATGCCCTAACTACAGGTCAACTGTTTTCTGGTGGATATATTGATATTAATAATGCATGCATACTAATATTATATATCTGCAGGTCAACTTAACTGTGGTTGCCAACTTGAAAGAATAATGCATATAAATAACTGGGAAAAAAATTATTGGAATATAAGCGCATACCCCAATGACCACACATCTATATCACTTCAACTATTATTGGAATAAATCTTAACATGTGTTCCACCAAATAAATAAGCCTTAAAATATAATTGTTATTTCTGCAATTATCATCCACGAATTTTTTCTTTGTTATAGAAAAAGATATTATCTAAAGTTGGTTTGATACGTTGTATTTCTCTGATATGATCGTGTCCTATATATGTACTAGGGTGACTTATTTTATTTTCATTTGAAGCAACGTTATATTAAAATATGGGCAGCCGCTAGGCTGAAGGTCTTGAATATTATTATAGAGTCAGAGAGAAGGAAACGGACGAAGGCACAAAGCCCGCACATTTTAAAGAGACGACGACCAAAAGCCACCTGTCTGTCTCCCTCTGTTAATGTTGAGAGTCGAGACGTGAGCCATGACGATATCCGACTCCGACATTGAATGACGTCTCTCTCTCTCTCTCTCTCTCTCTCTCTCTCACACACACACACACACACATAAAAACTAGCAATAGCAAAGCATTCAGTCCATCTTTGTCTCTCTCAGTCTTTGACACACCGCACAGGGCCGCAAACTTGTATAGCCCATTTACCAATCAGAGAGCGCATTTTGTTTTCAAGAAGCCGAAAACGCAACCATTTTCAAGTTTCAGCCTTTCGTCTTTAAAAAGTGAAGAAATTAAATTCTGGGTTTGCGACATCGGGTTTCGTGGGTTTCCAGGTTAGTCCAACCCCTCATTATTAATTATTATTTTTCTTATACTTATATTATATGGGAAGTTGTTTGATTGGTCTTTGAATGTTGCCTCTGTTTTTTCTTTCATTGTTTAACTTTGTGGTCGCTGAATTATTTGTCAAGAATTGAGCACAAAACAAAAACGAGATTGTTTTCTTTTATTATTTTAATGCCGAACGGATCTTGATCAAATGCTTCACGTGTCCAGTGCGGGGCGGTTTTAGGATAAGAAAATGCACGTTTCTGTTTTTTCTCCCACGTTCGTAGTTTCATACAGAAGCCGACGAATGCAGTATCACTACGCTTGAATTTCTTTACTTTCGAGCTTAGACAGCTCAGTGACGAATTGTTTGGTTGTTATGTAGGCGGACCATTTTCTTTGTGTGAACTATTGTGCCTAACTAGCTTAGGCCTAATAGGAGGAAGGGGGCATCCAGTTCTTGGGCCATTTTCAGGTATGCCCTTTAATCTTAATTGTGAACTAATTATGTTGTATGGGGCAATCACTATGTGCCCATTACGTACTTGGCTTTGTTAATAATGTCTTTGATGCTCTTGGCTTTATGTTTCATCTGTGAATTGGAAGGACTGCATTGATGTCTTGTTTGAGTTTTCATTTTTCCATCAAAATTTTATTAATCATCTGATTGTTTTTAAGCCGGTTAGACAAGGTTTCTTATTGTATCTTCTTGCATTGTATACCTTACAGAGTAAATTTAAGCATGATGGAGGATTTGTGGACTGTATTTTGTGGCGAATCTGGTCCTTCAGGCACAGCTGGAAAGCCATGCACTTCCAATCTTGAGTCTATGATTCATCCTTCTTCATGCACCAATCATGTGTTGATAATTGGGTTTGACATTTTGCTACTAGTTGCGCTCGTGTTCAATATGTTTCACAAGTCCTCATCAAAAACAGGTCACATTCCACCCCGATTTCGAGGCCTTTCGGGTTTGCAAATAGTCTCTGCCCTTGCTAATGGCTGTCTTGGAATTGTGTACTTGGGCTTGGGAATCTGGATTCTGGAAGAGAAGCTGAGGAATACACAAACCGCTTTGCCTTTGAATTGGTGGCTACTTGCTTTGTTTCAAGGGCTCACATGGTTGTTTGTGGGTTTGACTGTAAGCATCCGGGGAAAACAACTTCCAAGACAACCGGCAAGACTATTGTCTATCCTTGCATTCTTGTTTTCTGCAGTTGTCTGTGCTCTATCGCTTTTTTCTGCCATTTTCAGAAAAGAGTTATCAGTAAAGACCGTATTAGATGTCCTGTCTTTTCCAGGAGCAACATTGTTGTTGTTATGTGTTTATAAGGGCCATCCATATGAAGATGGTGATGAGGGCATCAATGGAAATGGCCTTTATACTCCTCTGAATGGCGAGTCCAATGACATCAGTAAAAGTGCTCATGTTACCCCATTTAGCAAAGCTGGATTTTTCAGCAAAGCCTCAATTTGGTGGCTAAATTCATTGATGAAAAAGGGTAGGGAGAAAACTCTAGAGGAAGAAGATATACCCAAGTTGCGTGAGGAAGATCGAGCAGAAAGTTGTTATTTGCAGTTCTTGGAGCAACTAAACAAAGAGAAACAAATTCAACCATCTTCCCAACCTTCAGTACTAAAGACAGTAATCATATGCCACTGGAAAGAGATTCTCTTGTCTGGCTTCTTTGCTTTGATAAAGGTACTCACTGTCTCAGCTGGTCCTATGCTTCTAAATGCCTTCATTCTGGTTGCTGAAGGAAATGAAAGTTTCAGATACGAAGGTTATGTGTTAGCCATTACACTTTTCCTTTCAAAGACAATTGAATCCTTGTCACAAAGGCAGTGGTACTTACGATCCAGGCTTATTGGTTTGAAAGTTAAGTCTTTGCTCACATCAGCCATTTACAAGAAGCAATTAAGATTATCTAATGCTGCTAAGTTAATACACTCAGGTGGTGAGATAACGAATTATGTTACAGTGGATGCTTATAGGATTGGAGAATTCCCATTTTGGTTCCATCAGACTTGGACCACTAGCCTCCAGCTCTGTCTTGCATTGGTAATTCTTTTCCGTGCCGTTGGCCTAGCTACATTCGCAGCGTTGGTGGTGATAGTTTTGACTGTGGTCTGCAATGCTCCACTTGCCAAGTTACAACATAAGTTTCAGAGTAAGCTAATGGAGGCACAAGATGAAAGGCTAAAGGCTAGTTCTGAGGCTCTTGTGAATATGAAGGTGTTAAAACTATATGCATGGGAGACCCATTTCAAGAATGCGATAGAAAAGTTAAGGAAGGCGGAGTACAAATGGTTATCGGCAGTGCAGTTAAGAAAAGCGTATAATTCCTACCTCTTTTGGTCATCCCCTGTTTTGGTCTCTGCTGCTACATTTGGAGCATGTTATTTTCTCAAGGTTCCGTTGCATGCAAAT